TAAATAATACAGTTGTTTCTATAGCCTCTCGGGCAGCGGCTGAGTTTCACTTAGTCTTATTAACAAGGGGCTAGTGGGAGTAGCGGTGACCACTCCACTGACTATGACATCTGAGGTAGCAACACCAGGGTTGGGTTTTGCCAGGTCTAAGGTAGCCAGCAGATTGCTAGGCAGAGATTCAGAATTACCTGTTCAAATATGTATTAGCAAGTTGAAAGAAAGGCCCTGGATAAGACGGCACTCACTGTTTAAGTTATGCTGCAGATCAACTGAATTGAACAAATAGGCAAACCAGTGCTGCCGCAATGATGGTAACAAGTAGTTTTGAAATCTTGCAGGGTATGAACCATACCAAGGTGAGTTGCATTATCAATAACAGGATGCAAAGTTGCAGCAAAAGTTGTGACTGATGGCAAAGTACACTGTATCCCATGAGATCCGTCAAAATCAAAGTTAGCCTGGAGTAAGACAGAAAACGAGTCATGCTGTTTGATAAAAGTGAGATTCACAAACAACCTAGTATAATAATGATTATATTAATGTACTGTTGGCTCTGGACAATCTTGCACAGCCAAATCAAGCCATGAGAGGCAATCAACTGGGGTTGGGAGATTATTACATGGCATAAGCTGAGTACTAGCAAAATAGACTTGTTCACAGGAGTGAGGTTGACTGTCGTAAATGAGAACTGACACAAATTGTGCTACAACTGTTACAATTGACATACCAGCACCTACTTATGCTACACTTTTTGTACTTTTACTTTTACTTTTTGCAAGTCACATGACCAGTCATGTGACCATTTACTTTACTTTACATTTTCGGACTTTTCATAGTCACATGACCAGTCATGTAACACATCACCTGACCGGTGTCTAGGCTCATCATGTGACCGGTCACATGCTAGACATTGGACTTTAAACTTTATTTACAACTGTACAGTACCTCATGTATTTTAGTATATATACAGGAGCAATACATGGGGAGGGACTGTGTGAGTCCTCCTGTTGTCTACCAACAACTAACTTGGTCCTACCAAATGGGTAACCACTCCCACCTCCTCCTCTTCTTTTGAGTGTTGTTTTCATTGTGCTCCAGTGCCCCAAGACTGTGTCTTGTTGGTGTTGTCACAACAACAGTGTGTTGTTATAATGACTCGGGTTTGCCTCATGTTCAACGTACTGCAAGTCTGATGTTCTAATGCTCTGGGTGAGCTCTATTGTCCTATATAATGTGTCAAGCAAACTCGAATCAACATATATTCCAACACTACTTTAATACATTATGATATGCCCTGAATGTAGTCTTCCAGTCTGACAGCCTGGTCGTTTAACTCATCTTCAATAGTAAGTCCCCATCATCATTCTCATTATGATTGCTCCCCACTGACTTATCACCCAGCATGCTATAAATTTGTCCGGTATATCCTTCAAGCTTGTAAATGCAACATAGGCAGTTACAATGGACATTGTTGATCCTATGTTGTTCGGCGTATAACAAGTAAAGCTCGGCAGCAAGGAGAGGGCTGTTGACTTTTGTCGCATTGTAGGACTCAAATAATGTCCTGTCCTTGTTATCTATCCACATGTGTAGCCTTTGTACCTCAACATTGAGTTGTAGAACTTCTTCCTTTGCACGTTGAATCTTGAAGAACTTTATGGCTACTTGCCGGTTTGCTGAGACTGTCCAAGGCTTGGCAAGAATATCGTGCCTCAAATATTTCAATAGCATGAACTCACTGAGTGTAGCATAGCTAACTATTTCTAAATACTCCAGGACAGGCCATGGAGGATTTTGCTTTGGTGCCATCCGATTATATTTTTGAAGTGCAGTTCAAATAGCTCCTGAACGCTTTTCCAGGGCCCTAGAGATTGTTTCCACATTTTATACCCTATGAGCAGCCAATTAGGAGTGTATCAGTTACTTAAACATAAAACACACCAGTTCCAGATAAATTAGCTTTTGACAACTCCAAAAGACGCTGTATAACCAGTCCCTCTAACTCTTCAACCACCGAAATAAAATGTTGGTGCCCAATAAACTCCTTTGCTTTAATATATTTACTATGTGAATCATCCCAATGGGTTGTTATTTTAGCCTGGTGCTCCAATTCTTTGACATGTTTCTTCTGCCGAGTAAGACATCAATATAAGGACTTTGCTTTATCTTTGGCTGCTGGAGAACCGAGCTGTGCAGGCTGGGACAAACCAGAATCTGAGCCAAAATGCGAAGGCATGTAAGTCAAAAAACTGGATGAGGTGATTTTGTTGGTTTTGGCCCTAAAAGTATCAATGTCAGATCATTGAGACAACAAATAAAAAAGATTTTGTACTCAAGCTGTTGTAGCTTGTCAAGCTCATCAACATAAGTTACTGTCATCATGTCATACTCAAATTCTGTTGACAGATTCCCAAGGAAGGCAAGTTCTTCCAAGTTCCACCGTACAAAGTCCGCATCGCTAATATTATGCAAGGTTTGGAATTTTTCTACCACCGGGCTGTAATCATGGATAATAGAGATTGCCTGCCTGTAGTTATTTCACAAGGAAGCAGCCTTTGTAGATCAATAAAACTTCAGAGAGAAAAAGCAATAACATACTTAGCTCAAGATATTTATCAACATTCCACTGATCAAAGTGAAGGTCCAAGGATTGTGCCCAGTGGAAGTACAAGGCATGTTGGATTATTGGAGCCAGTGTATTTGATGATGCAAAGACTTTTTCACATGTCTCCATATCTTCCAAACCAAAACCTTTCAGATAAAGTGGATGATTGAGGAGCTGACATTGTTGGTTATGTGCATAGCCATGAAATGTAACAACCAAGAGTTATTTACTCTGGTGCACACAGGAACACACTATAAAGAAGATGGTGGGGAGTGGTTACCCCTTTGGCTGCAGTGAGTTAGTTATGCTAGACAACAGGAGGACTCGCTGAGTCCTTCCCCATGTATTGCTCCTGTATATATACTAAAATACATGAGGTACTGTACAGTTGTAAATAAAGTTCAGAGTCCGATATCTAGCATGTGACTGGTCACATGATGAGTCTAGACACTGGTCAGCTAATGTGTCACATGACTGATTATGTGACTATGAAAAGTCCGAAAATGTAATGTAAAGTAAATGGTCACATGACTGGTCATGTGACTTGGAAAATAAAAGTAGAAGTACAAAAGTGAAGCATAAGTAGGTGCTGGTATGTCAATTGTAATATGAAATGTATTGACTGTGATTGTAAGACCAAGCCTTTTTGCCTTTTCACCGATAGAACTTGATGCCACGGTCTTTCTTGATGTACATCCAATATTGTGGCCAACACCTTGGCCATCTCCGCAAACATCCAAAAGCCTATTTATAGTCACAAGTGCATACTTTGACCTAACAGAGAGATTTTTAGCACAACAAATTATACCACTCTATGGGGATCTACTCACAATTCTCCGCTGTGCTTCACCTCAGCTACACTTTCAACAAATCCATGTTGACATGCCATCAAGAATATACCAGTTTGATCAAATACTTGAATCTTGTCTTCTTTAACCGAGTTGGCAGCCAGCCAGTTTCCGGCACAGCTATCATCCTCTGACCTTGCTTGTGTTTTCAGCCTTGGCTGTTGGGAGACATCATCTTTGAATGTATCAACTTTGGCAGGCAGTATGAAAAGACAACTGTAAAAATGACGAGAGTTGGTATGGCTGGATCCATCTATCCGCCGAGCGGACATATTCCCATCAATTGTGTGGATACGTTTCAGCATCAGGACAGGTTCATTTGGTTGCTACACAAAATATGAAATTAGCATTGACAATGAACCACTCATTTAGGTAGAACATATCTCAAATGAACATGATGGACAGCTGTGAGCATCCCTGTGAATGATGTTGTCGATTGAAGCACAGATTTTTCGCTTGATATTTAGATATATATCAAAAGCTACTGACAGCTGTTCCCGAAAGACTGGCACATATGTTACCTAATAGAATGATGTCAGGCTCTACATGACTATGACTATGACTGAAATGATTTATCATGTTATGCAGTGAGCAAAGCACTTTTGCCATGGCTTGTACACTGAAAGATGATTGATAACGCCGGATTTGATGGTAAAGCTCTAAACAATCAAACCCAATAGCAACTGTAGGCTCAAGAGGAGAGCACCCCAGTAGCCCCTCACAACAAGGGCAACATTTGCAGGTTCATCAGCTATCTGAAATACCGAGCGACAAGGAACATACTCTATTATAATATGAGTACAGATGTGACATAGATATCACCTCTCTTACCTGTGAAACATACTGCCCCCACTTGAAAAGTATGATGAGGACTATTATTGGATACACTGTGGTTGGTGCCATGCTTCCACTGAAGGTAGGCAACCACAAGGGCGGGAACCTGTGATTGCCAAGCTACATTTTGCTGAATGTGACACTGAGAAAATCCTCTCTGGTCATGCCGTCGACGAACACGGCTATTCTCCCTGTATTGTACTATGTAGCCACAATTAATAAGCTTGATCAGATTGATTAACTTACGGGTCACGGTCAAAAGTTCAAAAGAATGTCCCAAATATTTGGGTTTCATCAGAGTCACTGTTGTCTTCTTCACCTCCATGAGAGATGGATTCTGCATCATCAAAGAGCATTGTCGTGTCTTGGGGATTGATCCCTGTTTTAAGGTATGCTTCACCAAGTTGTTCTCTTGCTCCAAGTGTTGGAATAGTCAAGGTCAAAGCCTGTAAGCCTTGTTAGACAACATATGTCATGAGTTGACATTAGTACAAGGGCTGGTAGCTCAGTTGGTTAGAGCACCACCATACATAGGCAGAGGTCCTGGGTTCAATCCCCGGCTGGTCCACTTTGCTTTTATGCACTCCCTGTGGTCAGGTGGCTATGTGAGGTCACATGGCTAAAATCCAATACCAAGGACATTGTCTACAACAAAATTAGGGCATAGTGTGAAAACAAGTAGCTACTTACTTTGAAACCTTTTATTTTCAGCTTCAATGCGCTCCTGCCTGATCTTGCCCAGTTAAGCTACTGAAGTACTGGCCATACCACCTTGGAATAGTGTCATCCTGACACAGGATGATGTTGATTTGAGGCTCTTCCTGGTCTTCCTGGTAGACATGATGGTTTGAGGCAACAATGGAGAAGCTGAAGGTCAGTAGGAAGGTACGGATGATGCTGTGGAAGCTGTGGAATACAATGACAAGGCTATCAGTAAACCGTGAGAAAATGTATCAGCACACCATAATGTTGAAACTGGCCTGTACACATTTTGCCGAATAACTGCATATGTGATGCTTTGCCGCACTGTGCCGAGCTCCAAAACCTTAAGAATAAACCTTATCCATCAGTATACAGCAAACATAACAGCCCCAAGATAACAGGGCTGAATTTGTCATGTAGATTAGTATACAATGTATAATTTAACCACCGCTTTGAAAAAAACAAGGGGAAAATACCTAATATTGACCTTAATGTTGAGCTCACTGTGCTTGACGATGAATAGAATCGCTTTGTCATTGTCGGAAGTGGTGCCGGATGAGTGGAACGGGTCGGATGACAAAAGGGCCCGTGTGGCAAAAACAGCAATAGCCCAGCCAAGACACTGCTGAGTCCTGAAGTTATTGCTGAAGTGCTGCAGCAGAGGTAAAGCTTTCTAAGTAGTAATGAGTATCATCTACAGCATTCTTACTAATATGTTATATCACAACACAATGGGATCCGCACCTGTGTACAGTGATTCTGGACCTTCTGGGCATGCAACCAATCAGTATGCTTTCCAAGTACGCCTTGGTAGCTTAGTTGGTAAAGCACCAGACCATGAAAGCTGGAGTCCCAGGTTCAAGCCCTGGCCAATGCATATTTTCTCATACTATAAACAAATGTCATAATTTGTCATGTTACATAAGCGGTGTGACTCAGGTGACTCGATGCACTCGTCCTAAGATGAAAGTCTCCAGACGTTTTGGGAACCTCTCAGCACGGCTTATCCTGCGCCTTCCCAAAATGTCTGGTTTGAGACTAGGTTTTCTCACTCTATTTCTGCCATACTGTCGTTCCCAGTCAGTTCGTATTTGAGGTACAATTCGGACATCACAAAGGTAACAAAAAGTAACGCTAAGGTCACATATGCCGGATTGAAGCACCAATTCGGCAGAGGAAAGCCTCAAAAAATGACGAAGTCCCACTGCTAAGAAATAATAGTAGAATAGTAGGCATTGCTTTCATGCTTGACTCAAAATCAAAACAACAGTTTTCACCAGATTCAGAGTATGTTTAACTACAAAACATAGTACGGTTGACCCAACTCATTATAATATGTAATTGTCACACCATTTTCATCGGTTGGGGGAGGTAAAACATGCTCAGAGATATTGAAGTTATATGAGGGCCCAGGAGTACTACAGCCTGGGCCAGAGAAACCATTGTAAAATGTGGGGCCAGGAAATTGTGATTGTGTGGCCAAAAAAGATGGAGTCTGGACAGACTGGGGGGAAAACGCAGTAGATGAGTTGACACTAGAATATAAGGGTGATTGGGATGATTGTCCAGAGTGACTAGAACCCTCAGGGGCCTGAACACGACGGCCAAAAAGGCCAGCAAACCGGGGGTTATTTGCTAACTCCTTATGTCCTTGAAGGTGAGACTTGATCCTTTCAATGAGGGCTTTGACTGTCCCATCAATCGGTAAACGAAGAGCACCGGCTATGACAATGAGGTCCTCCTTGCGCTTGTAAGACGCAAAAAATCTGTCAAAGACTTTCATCACAGTCTCTATTGTTATTCATGTGTTACGAGCGGTGTCTTCTTGCTGCTTACTTGCCTCCTTTTCTGTGTCTATGCGGGCTTTCTCCTTCCGCTCAATCTCCTGCTGTTCGAACACGGCCTTTAATTCAGGATGAGTGAGAAACTGGGCAGTTGGTTCCGTGGTGCCTCGTCGAGGCTTCCTATGGTTTCCTGAGCGCTTCCGTATGTCTTCTGCATCACATCGAGCAAGTGTGCGATGTGCATTGGCTGCATCCCTTTCAGCCTTGAGCTGTGCTAACGTCACTTTCAGCTGTGTGTTTTCATCCTCAAGGAGCCCGACTTTCAACCGAGTGCTCTGCAACTGCATCAACAACTCAGGGTGCGAACACCGTTGATCTTGTTCTGGAGACACATTCTGCCCATTATTTAAAACAGCCCCCACAGACTGCGCAGATGAAGACCTAGTCATGTATCCGCTGCACCTTCTTTGAGCAGAGGTGGCTTTTGTGCCCACACGGTCAGATGGTGTAGGAGAGGGAAAGACATCAAGCCCAAGCTGTGATGGAGAAGGAGATGGGGCACTGCCAGTTTGTGATCAAGAGGCGCTATTGACGAAAGGATCAGCAGGAGGGAGTGGCGGCAAAGTCATCTGCAAAGGGGATGGTGGTGGAGTATTAGAGAAACACGGCCAGGAAAAGAGCTCAGGCGGAAGTGTTGAACCCTCTCGTGTGGGGGAGAAAGCTTGAGTAGGCAAAGAAGCAAAGAGGTGGAGGAAAATAGGATAGAATGGAGATGAACAGGAAGACTCGTCTTCCTGTTCATCGTTGTTCTCTCTATACTCCTGAGAGGGTTCTTGGTCGTGGTATCCGTCCAATTCAACTGTCGGGCCAGGGAGCGCTGTCAAACCAAGCAGTCCTGGGGGGGAGTCATCCCGCATCATATCTGACTCGGTGTCTGACTTGTTACTACCGTCGCTCGTATGGAAAGACTCGTCACTTGTGTCAACGTCACTTGGATAACTATCAGGGAAGTGAGCAGATGTGGACGTTACTTGGCTTGGCACAAAGTCCCCCTCCGTGAAGACATTCAGGTTGAATGGATAGATACCAGTCTCCTTGAAGGCCGTGCGGATGAGTTCTGGTGTAATAATATGACGGATAGAAAGATACTCTGGAACAATGTTGTAACAATTGATTTTGATGCCTTCTATTGCAAGGTGGCTTGTGTGCGAACTCCAACTCCTTCCAACTGGGCAAACACGACAACATCAAGCGGCTGTAATTTATGAGTGGTTTTTGATGGGAGGCGATAGATAATGATGCTGTGTTTATAAGCTAGAGCTTGAAGGACAGGTTGCTCATGCGAGTCATGGCCATCCAAAGTAAGAACGACCAGCCTGTCATCAATGCAGCAAGCTTGGGACTCAGGGATAAATGAATGTCTTGTTGAACCACTCCTCACATATTCCACGGTTTGTCCAGCCAGTTTTTGTACGGGATATACTGGAAGAAAAGGTTAGTAAAATGATATGGGCAGAGGAATGGAGAAAACGGACCTTCCTATGCCCTCGACATCACTTAAATCAGGCAGTGGCCCCTCCTTCAACGCGAAACCAGGCTTCATCAACACTCCAGCAGCGCTAATGCACTCTATCACCGTAACAAGCTCCAAATTGTCGTCCGAGATGTGGTATGATTCCTTCTGCTTCCTATTATAAAAGTACTTCGTCCCGTCTCCTTTCCTGCCTCCTCCCATTTGAATCCCCTTCTCGTCCATGTTCCAGTCATGTTCCGGAGGAATCCCACCATACATATCATTCAACTGTTTTTGCTGTGCAAAGTAGTCAGCCACTACTGTCCAGTTGAAGTTCTTCGCTCTCTTCGGGTCCAGTTTCTGCGGCTTTCGGAGAACAAGTGATGGATTGCGGCTAATGAACCTGTAGTGCCAATGTTTTCCAGGGATTTTTCCCGAGATATCACGCACACACGACCAAAGCTTCTTGGGACACATGGGGTTGGCCATGGTGCCATAGTGTTGTGTCCAATCGAGCAGAACCGATTCTTCCGCTGCAGATAGGAGCTGTTTCTTTTCTTGACCTTGTTGGTATGTCTTGTGCACTCCTTTCGCTCGATTGTGAAGTGTTTGACGGGCAACCTAAACTCCAGATCACATTCATCTGATCAATCGATCAGAAATCTAATCACTCACGTTGTTTAACCTCGCAGCCTCTGCATATGACTTGTAGAGCCCCCGTTTATAGCCCTCTATCGCTGCCTGTATCCTATTCTCGTATTCCAGGTCCTTCGACGCTCGGTAGGGACATTTTGCTGCTGATTTTCGCTGACGGGCCATTGAAGGACTCTTGAAGTGTGTCAAACACGTTGTTCGACAGCCTGTGGCGCACGTACACCTGGGTCTGAATCTGACTTTCGGGAGCTTCCGCTCTATTGTTTGAGCGTTACATAGCTGTTACAGGTCGAAAAATGGCTTGAAAGAAGGGACAGAAGAACGGCTCGATATTTCGAGCTGAAAAAACTTCAGGAGGGATTTTCAAGGTCTTTCAATTCACTGGGTAAAATAACTAAAGTAAGTACTAAGTGCTATATGGTGTTTTCAGATAGTGTCCGAATTGTACCTCAAATACGAACTGACTGGGAACGACAGTAATGTAAACAATTGGTCGTGTAGCTAAGCTAGTAATGAAATATTGTGCCGGAGGCCGGCACGAACAAGGTTTCCAACCAGGTCGCTATCGAATCGACGATGACTATCCCTATGACACTTATTAATTGTAAAGTTTGTGATCTCATCTCCAATTCTCTGAATCAGATCGTAACTCTTTGCCTGTGGCTCCCAACAGAAAATGTGTCCTTGGTGACCACTACCTTGTACTAGCATCACCGGAATGTATATAATCCCACTGGACTTTTATCTGGCTTCGAGGATAAGGACATGTCAGCTTTACCCACTACCCCTAGTTTTTATTTCGATTTACAGGTGTCCAAGGTGAGTACATCCTCAATCAAAATTAGATTTATTACTCATGAGTGTCCGTCCCTTAGTATTTCAATGGTACTTATATTGCCTAGAATCTTCAATCATGCCTGCTCATCGTCGTGAATTTATTAGTCGCTGGTTTGGTAGTATGGGTAAGGGTGCTGGAGTATGTTGAGTCGCTGTCGTTAATGTCAGGATAATCAGATGTTTGACTATTGTGTGTCTTTGGACGCGGAGGTGAGGTTACTCCTTTGTTCCTAGGGTTTCCCTTCCTGATATTGAATATTGATTGGCAGGTACATTGGATATGGCAAAGACAATGGAATTTTGCCCGAGTGGTGTTTACAGCAGCGCGCTATATACCGTGCGTCGGTGCTATCATGACCGTGATCAGTAAGTTTTCTTGCCTCTCGTGAATATCATTCACCGTACTGAGAGAAATTTAGATTCCAATACAGATCAGACGGGAAATGTCGGTTTTATATTCTTTATTGAAAAGCTGCTGGCTTAAATGAAGAATGTATAGTGTACACCATTCGAAATTTCTTCAAATCGTAAGTATACTAAACAATTTTGCTCTCGCAACTCAATCCTGATATACATGGCCTATGTAGTGATGCACGTCTTGGGCATCCTTTCTGCAGAGGGTATGATATACAAACCCGTTGAAGTTTATAGTGGACTAAATATCGTTTTCTAGGTCTTCTCGCTGTGCGAACTTATGCCCTCTGGCAGGGCAATAAAAAGGTGCTGGCGGGAATACTGGTATTCGGCTTGGTAAGCGCTCGTGTATTTCTAATTTAAAAATACTGAATAAATGGTTGTATGAAGTTTTCCATTGGAGGGAGCATTTCCGTACCATACTGGAAGAGCAGTAGCCGTAGTAAGTTATGTGTTAAAAAATGATTCGTAATAGATCTTACCCCCGTTCTATAAACTCAGGTAGTTGCCTTTTCCTGGGAGACACGACTTATGCTATACAATATGGATTTGTGCTATTTTTTGAACTTCGTGGGTATAATTTACACATCCATCTAGTGAACCCTTGATCTGATGCCTACACCAACGGTCAGTTTTGCTAATCACGACCGCATTGGCAAGTTTCAGGCATTACCGCTTTGTTAAAGGTCTATTGATTACCATACTTATTCGCGATGGTGTGATGTATATGGGTTGTATAATCTGTGCGTCCATCCATTCATCCATTGTCATTTAAAAATGACATTTCTGATCGGAGGGCTCTTTGGAACATTAGCTGTTACTATAATTAACATCATCGTTAACATCGCGGTTCCGGTGAGTGCGCTGAGCCCGCGAGAAATGATCGATCTAACCGTTCGCTTTCTACATCAGCTTGGATACGCAAACTCACTCGATGCGTGCGTGCATGCTTCGTCCCTGAACTTTACATCTATAATTACTGAAAGGAGGTCCATAGGCTACAGCTTGTCTTGCATAGCGTTCTGGCCTCCCGCATCTTCTTCCACCTCCGTGAGAGCTATGTCGGCGGACTTATCGAAATGTCGTCGTTCTCAGTCCCAACATCAGGACTTGGAGAATCGACTCTGCCAACCTGAATCGTAGGACGTGCGCTCCCGTTCCCCAATTCTACGCCCGTATGTGCTCGCCAAGAGCTGACTTGAAGGATTTCATATCCTGAGGCTGTCATAATACGCCTGTGATTGAACCACCTCACTCTGTTGCCTCGCTGGAACTCCTTTTTCGAAGCTATACAAATAGCTTGGTTTGCTGGATGATCGGAAAATTTATGATGTACTGATACTATAATATCTGGCTGTACTTCGGGCTTCAAAGTTTTTAGGATAATGTATACAATACCTCTAAGCGTATATTTTATAATAGGAAAATGCTAATATGACAACACATTGTAACTAATACCACATTGTGTCAAGGAAGTTTCAAAGTTCAACTTTGAAACGGTACCGTCTCATTTTCTACGAGTTACCGACTGCGCACCCAGCTCATTTGCTTATACGTAAGCCAAGCTCCGCATTAAGTGACTGACTCTGGGGTAGACATCTGACTTGTTCTTAGGCAGTGAACAGTTGGTTGTGTCAGGTGAGTTGCGCTCTGCATTTCCACAGAGATTTGAAATAACTGTATAACAGCTTTAGTCTTAGGATGCCACTGTTAATGGATGTCAATATTTCTAACAGCTGCGTACTTGGCGGCTTCCCATCACTGGTCAGGTACTTATTTTGAAAGAGGCGCTCAGATGGAGAGTACAGAAAGTAGAATTATCCTGGACAGATCGTGTTATGAATTAAACCGTTTGATGCGGTGCGTGGTTCTATGAAACGGGATGTTAAACCTGGATATGTGGGTCACTATTATAAGGGCTCTATCCAAGCATTGGGGACGGGGGCTGGCCTTTTGTCCCTTTTGCCTGCGAAGCTACTGAAAATGAGTCCCGCGAACCATGTGTATTCTGCTTTCGCGTTCTTCGGATTTATGGGAATTTTGCTACCAATGCATCTCCGTGTTTTATTTCGCGAATACGACTTTACAGCGTTTTCGGAATACCTTGTCTGCGCCATTTTTTTTCGTTGCCTCCTAGAAATATTATATAATCAGCTGAATTACCAAAAAAGGACAGGCAATAGGAATCCCGGATTCCATCGATAACAATCTTTGTACTTACCGTCATGGTGTATCGTGCTATCAGCAAAGACATCAAAGAGTGAGCCCTCTGGCTCATTGAACATCAGTACATACCCTCCGACGTCTGTGAGATCTTCAACATATCCGAACAAAGCTTCTCTCGCTGGAAAGCAAACCAAGCTCAATTTGGCTCAGTCTGCCCTCCTCCCAACCTTCTTTGTGGTTGACCATGTATCCTCAATGGCATTGTGTCAGATGAAATATACAATTTAGTGGCCGAAGCACCAGAGCTTTTTTTGGATGAGATACAGGAGTGGCTATTGGTAGCACACAATGTAGGGATTATCACAACACAATGGGATCCGCACCCGTGTACAGTGATTCTGGACCTTCTGGGCATGCAACCAATCAGTATGCTTTCCAAGTACGCCTTGGTAGCTTAGTAATAAAACTAAGTGAAACTCAGCCGCTGCCCGAGAGGCTATAGAAACGACTTTATAATTTACCTAAGTGAAACTACAATAGATGTTAGTTTAAGGTGATCTCTAATAAATGTAATGTAACATACCTCAGCCGCTGCCCGAGAGGCTATAGAAACAACTGAGGTATTCCTATACTAAACCCCCTACTACTTATAGTCGGAGGTGCTACTCGCTACAGTATAATGACTCCTAGGAGAACAATGGCTGCTTTGGCAGAGACCGGGTTTATCCGGTTTTGTCACTCCCACTCGAGTGCAACCGTAGTCCCATAGCTTTAGAGAATTTCCAGTGTTTTTTGTGAGTGAGGGGTTTAGTGAGAATGTCTGCAACCATATCTCCTGTAGGAACATATCTGATTACTGCCTCTCCCTTTGATACTAAGTCATCTCGGATGAAATGATATTTGCGTTGAATATGTTTTGTGCGAGCACGGAACTGCGGATCTCGTGTAAGAATGATAGCTGCTTGGTTGTCACAGTGCAATCTTGTAGGTCCATTTTGAGCATGTCCAATTTCTTCAAAAAATGTCCGAAGCCATGCAAGGTGTTGTCCAGCATTGCTCAATCCAATGTACTCTGACTCCGTGGAGGATAAAGCGACCATGCTTTGTCTTTTGCTTGTCCAGGAGATTGCTCCTCGGATGGTGATAAAGACAAACCCTGATGTTGATTGAGATGTGTCTGGGTCTCCAGACCAATCTGCATCTGAATATCCATAGAAATCCATGTCCATGGAGACATCTGTGCCATCATATCGTAGTTCCATGTCCCTGGTTGCTTTCAGATATCGGAGGACACATTTTGCAGCTTCCCAGTGATGGCTCCTTGGAGCTGAGCTATGTCTGCTTAGTATTCCAACGACGTAGGCAATGTCTGGGCGGGTTCCGAGCATGGCATACATGAGGGAGCCTACAATTGAGAGGTATGACACTTGACGCCCTTCAATATGCATCTCGTGTTGCACAATATCTTCCCCTGGAGCATTTGCAAGGAGTTTTGATCCATGGGCCATTGGTGTCTATACTGGTTTGCAGTTTTTCATTCCAGTACGCTCCAGGACTGTGTCAATGTATTGGCGTTGCAATAGGGATATTGTTTTGTTTGAACGATCACGTTGGATTTTTATTCTAAGGATGTATTTTGCTTCTCCAAGGTCCCGCATTTTGAATATGGATTCGAGTTTGGCTTTTGTGATATCCATGAATTTTCAGGATGAAGCTCCTAGGAGGAGGTCATCTACATAGACAACAACAAAGCATATTTGTTTATTGTCCCGGAATACATAGAGACATGTTTCTGCATTTAGTCTTGTGAAACTGAGCTCCTGGAGCTTGTGATCAAAATTTTTGTTCCATGTACGACCAGCTTGTTTTAACCCATAGATGGATTTCTTCAATCTCCAGCAGTATCCAGGTTAGATAGGAAAACCCCCTGGAGGAAGCATGTACAGTTCTTCTTCAAGTTCTCCATTGAGATAAGCTGTGGATACGTCCATTTGATCAAGTTCTAGGTCGTACTTTGCTGCCAGGGCTAGAATAATTCAGATTGACTCTAAGTTTGCAACCAGAGCAAAAACCTCCTGGTAATCAATCCCCTCCCTTTGAGTAAAACCCCGTGCAACAATCCGGAGTTTGTATCTCTCAATGTTTCCGTTTTGATCAAACTTGATCCGGAACACAGGTTTTGATGTGATGGGTTCTACTCCCTTTGGAAGTGAAACAGTGTCATATACTGCATTAGTATTGAGACTTAGGAGTTCCTCCTCCAAGGCAGACTTCCATAATTCTCCATCCGGACGTGATAAGGCTTCCTTTAGTGTCCTTGGAAGGTCTGTGTTAGATGGACCGGTACTTGCTATTCCAGCAAAGAATGTCTCCTCTGTATCAGATGTTTCTTCATGAACCTCAGGAGTGTTAGGTTTCTCCATGGAGTTGTCATGCTGCTCTTTTCGAGACTGTTCCTCATCTAGAGTCCTTTGATAATCTCGGTTTTTGTCTGCAGGACGGGTCTGGCAACTGCTTCTGCGTACTCATAGGGCTTCAGCAGGCATGACTGCTCTTTTAGGAACTTGTGCAGGTACTCCAGGGAGTAGACGCATTTGTGTATTTGTTGCCCCACTCACTCCTAAAGGTGTTGAATCACTCCTCGGAGGTGTTGGATGACTCCTTGGAGGTGTTGTATGCCTTCCAGAAGCTGATCCAATGGACAGGCTGTCTAGCTGTATTCGGACTTTTTCCACATCAGCTGGCTGTATGTTGAGGGGCTGTCCTCCCACTGACTGTAACTCTACTTTGGCTTTCCATTCTGAAGATGGCCAGTGTTCAGGTCTTGGTTGTAGAGACTGTTGTGGAGGGTGTCTTAGCTGATCAGGTGCTCCCACTGCTCTCGCAACGTCTCCACGGAGGTATTGCCCCACTGCTCTCGGAACATCTTCATGCTGATATGGTTCCATTGCTTGTGGAACATCTCCTTGGAGATGTGGTTCCATTTGCAATTCATTTGGATCTCGGATCCGAGGGTCAGGATCATCCTCCTCCAATGTATTTTGGTCTGGATAGTGAGCATTCTCTGGAATGAGTCCCTCCCACTGATCTGTGCTAGTGTCTGTGTTCCAGGGAGCAGTGTCATCCTTTTGTACCTTTCCGGATTCATTGAATATGACATGCCGACTGGAAAACACAGTCCATTTTTCAGTGTCTAGGAGTTTGTAGGCTTGCTTTCCATGTGTGTAGCCAATCATTATGGCTTTGCGCCCCTTGGAGTAAAACTTCCCTTGCCTTTTGTCTTTCGGAATCAAGGCATATGCTTGGCATCCAAAATGGCGAAACAAAGTTGGATCAACTCTCCTTTTAAACAGTATTTCATATGGGGTCTTTCCATGGAGTCCTGATGCTGGGCTACATGCTGTGATATATGCAGTTGTTTGCATGGCATCTACCCAAAATGACTTTGGGAGCTTGGAATCATGGAGCATAGTGGTTGCTAATGTAGCCAATGTCTGATTCATGCATTCTGCAATGCCATTTTGTTCCAGAGTATCTGCAGCTGTAGTTTCTTGGATGACACCATCTCCTCGGAGTTGATTTTTGAATGCATTGCCAGTATATTCTCCTCCCCCATTGCTCCAGAGGAATTCTGTGTATAGTGGAGTGAAGTTTTCTTCTCCCAAATGAGTCCGGAAGAATGTTTGGACGTCTTCTTTCCATTGCTTGTATCGTTCCAGTGCTTCACTTTTATGTTTTAGGAAATATATCCATGGAAATTTGGAGAAATCATCTACAATGATAATCCAGTACCGAAAACCCTCCCTGGAAGTTGGTTTGATTGGTCCTCCAACATCTGTGTGCACAATTTGTATGGGGCGCTTGGCTCGTTTTCCTCCAGTGGACTTGAAAGGTAATTTCTTCATCTTTCCTAAAGCACAAGGTTCACAAAACTCCGGGGTTCCGGTAAGGGTGTCTATGTCCTGGAGCTGTCTTTTTGTAACCATTCATTGCAAGCGGTCTATTCCAATATGTCCCATTCTCCTGTGCAATAAATTTACATTTACTGCTGCAAAAGCTGACTCCGGGTTGATTTCGGGTTTTGCTTGGATGTGATAAAGTCCTCGCTTGTGTAACACAGTGAGGATAAGTTCCTCCTTTTTCTGAACTTCACAAGCATTTGACCCTGCTGGATAAAGTGTTGATAACCCCGTTTTGGACAATTTGTGGACAGAGACAAGTGCTAACGTGAAGTTTGGCACAAGTAAGACATTTGACAGTGCAATATTGTAGTCTTTTTTGCCAACAGTTGCTTGTAGGATTACTGTTCCAATGCCAATGGCATTTACAGAGGATTCATCCCCAAAACTGATTGTCCTCGGAGGATGCAGAACATGGTATGTTCCTGGCTCAAACCAGGAGCGGTGAGGGACCATGTGGGATGTTGCTCTGGAGTCAATAATAATTGTTGTTTTGGTCTTATCGGGTTCCAACACAAGGTAAGCTTGAATGCGTTTAGCAAGGGGCTTGGAAATATGTACATGTTCCAATGCAATATGACTCTGTTCCTCCTTGGAGTCAGATCCAGATGATTGCTCCGCCGTATTTGCCTTTTCCTTCTTCCTTTGACCTTTTCCCGCTGACTGAAGTGTTTGACGCTCTGAGGTGTTGTGTGTTTTGGCTTTGTGGAAGTCACACCACTTCTCCTCGGATTTGAGTGCTGTTTCGGAACCTCCAGGGGCCTTCCCTGACTGTCGTGCAACTTCTGCAGTGATCCGGATCTCAACTGCATCAAAGGTAAGTTTATTTTCTTCAATCGTGTTGATTACTGATGACTGAAATATTTGCCATTCAGGAGTGCATGGGAGAGATTGGAGAAGAGTGAAGGCCATGAGTTTGGTATCAACTCCTAGTTTCATTCTGGAGAGGTGTGAATCAATTGTCCGGATTTTCGCAATGTGGTCCTGGATAGGTGATGTCCCATCCCAGGACAATTTGGTGAGTTGCTGGAATGAATAGAAGGCCGAGGCAATGTTGGACATCTGATGGAGTGAGACAAGTTTATCAAATAACTCCTTGGAGCTGGTGAGGTCTCCAGTCCTCATTAGGAGGGCATCAGAGATGTGGTCCTGGATGATTCCATGTGCCTTCTCATCCTTAAGTATCCAGGTGATCTCAGGATCCTCCAAGGAGGTAGGTTTTCCTGGTGAGGGCTTAAGCTCCTCTCCAGTAACAACCCGGAGAACGTTTTCCCGACATAGCTTTGAGATGATCCGGAGTTTCCATATTTGAAAATTGTTGGGTCCAGTGAGAACTGGACATGCGGATGTATTGTGTGCTGTGGTCATGGTTCCGAGGTTGCCGTTTCAAATAAGAATTATTTCCTGTGTAGCTTTTGCGCACCAGGGCTCATAACCTTATAAAACTAAGTGTAACTCAGCCGCTGCCCAAGAGGCTATAGAAATGACTTTATTATTTACCTAAGTGAAACTACAATAGATGTTAGTTTAAGGTGATCTCTGATAAATGTAATGTAACATACCTCAGCCGCTGCCCGAGAGGTTATAGAAACGACTGAGGTATTCCTATACTAAACCCCCTACTACTTATAGTCGGAGGTGCTACTCGCTACAGTATAATGACTCCTAGGAGTACAATTGTGCTCCTAGGAGAATAATGGTTACTCCATGGAGTGGTGGCTATGCTCCATGGAGAACAATGGCTGCTTTGGCAGAGACCGGGTTTATCTGGTTTTGTCACTTAGTTGGTAAAACACCAGACCATGAAAGCTGGAGTCCCAGGTTCAAGCCCTGGCCAATGCATGTTTTCTCATACTATAAACAAATGTCATAATTTGTCAGGGATATCAAGGACCACACTTTTCGAGCACATCCGTGATTCTGGGCTGAGCTATAAGCTACTGAAGAAGGCAGCTGAAGAGAGGGATGACGACTTACGAGAGGAATGGCTCCAGGACATCAACACGCACTTTGTTGCCAGCCAGTTTGTTATGGTTGATGATACGAGCAAAGACAACAGGACAATATATCGACATTATGGGCATGCACCCAAAGGCCAACAAGCAGGGGTACTGGCAAACTTTGTTCGTGGAGAACATTATAGCCTCGTCACGGCCCTTACTTTGACTAGATACTGTGCAATACGGGTAGTACATGGGTCACTTGATGGTGACAATTTTTTCGAATTTATTGTGCATGATGTGGTAAGTATTTTTGTTCCTCGTCGTTTTATTGACTGACTAGTGTTCTCTATAGCTTCCTACATTGAATCCGTATCCACAGGACCACAGCATTATCATCCTCAACAACTGCTCCATTCACAAGGCGAAAGTGTTGCGTGAAGTCATTGAGGGAGCTGGATGTGTTCTCGTTTTTTTGCCACCATATTCCCCTGATCTGAACCCCATCAAAGAAATTTTCAGCTGTGGTAAGTGATTTTCTCTGCCCTCAATATACTACTAACAGTTTTGACAGTAAAAAAGCATGGATTTGTCGTAATTATGCTCAAATGCAAGACCATGAATACCCCCAAAATTGCACTCCTTGATGCAGCCCAGGTAGTTACTGCTGATAAAGCGAAGGGATGGTTTGTACATTTAGGGTATAATGTAGATATAGACTAAATGTGATTCCCTTTGGCCACAAATATGTTTTTTTTTTCACTTTTCATGTATGTAGCAGTTCAAAAAACAAAGTTTTATTGGACCAGAACTAAACTAAACAAAGCTAGATATGAGCAACAATGAGTAAAGACAGATAGAAAGTGATTAGGTAGTATGGTCGCATTTGTATCTACGGTAAGTCTTGAGTATACGAGCCCATTCCAATGGCTTGATGCCCGCATCCTTGTACTAGTTCTCATTGATGCTATCCAAATCATCACCTACTTTGAAACCAAGCCGTTCCAACCCATTCTGAATGCTTTTACTAAGGCCATATAACTCACAGAAGACTGAAACACTGCAACTTTTGACTGGAGGCAACGATAAACGGTGATTGTCTTCTAAGTGTGCTTTTGAGGGACTTGTAGGCAGTGTGGGGCCTGTAGATGGCATTGTTGTATTCCAAGGTAAACCGATACCATTGAACCCTATTCCCATTGGTAGGCCCATGCCCAGCATACCAAAGTTGATTGGATAGGGTGAAAATGGGCTGTTATAGTGGAAATTTGGTGGATAACTGAAGGTGTTGCTGATGGGAGGGTTTGCTGGGGTAGATGTAGCTTCAACGGAGGCAGGTGTAGGCCTGGTAGCTGTAGGTTTGACGTGGGCAGGCTGACAATCTTTTATTGCATGCTCAGCCTTGAAAAAATTGGCACCAACTGGCAATTTTTCTAGTGTTGCATCTCCTTGCTTGATGGCTTGCGCCCAGACAATGCAACGGGGCTGATTCATGTAGAAGTGGAGATTGCTGGAACAATGGTGGAAGCACCATAATGTATGATGCTTATTGCATAACCCGGGCCTGTATTTATTCTGTAGCAATGTAACAATTTCCTCGATCTCATCATCCAGCTTACTCTATCAAGGTCATAAGATACGGAACTAAAAGTAAGTTGTCACATACCTTCTTCAGGATAGACCTGTCTTCAACCTCCCAATTGTACACATCCTCACCTTCAGGAGCCGCTAACTGTACAGCCGCTTGGACAAGACGTGGAGGTAGGGCCCCTGGTGCAGTGGTAATACTGTCTGCTGCTGTGTTCATCGAAAGAATGATGTATGGCTTTGGCGTTGCCACCTTCATGGTGATTTGATTTACCAAGGAAGAAAATCCTTCTTTAGTCAACAGCGGCAACCATGGCAAGTTCTTTGGTACGAGCCACTTCCATTTAAAACTAGAGATAGGAAGTGAGTGGGTATGTTTCACCATGAGATCAGCAACAAAGTAATGAAGTCATCCCAAGGTGACATGATGTTGACGTCAATAGGACCATAGGCCTTGGGTTCTTGCTTCTTTGACTTTGTCTTCCTATTTGCTGTGTGCACACATTTAGACGGCTGATTTTTGTGGATCACCACTTCAAATACAGTGGCTGTAACATCACGAGTGACCTGTTGAGCAGCACGAGATTTACGACCCCGAGGGACAGCTGGAACAGAGGGGGGAGGAGGGGAAACAGAGAGGGGTGTGGGTGGTGGAGCAATGGCCAAGTAGTCAATGGTATCATCGCTTCTGGGAGCTGGAGTGTCAAGAAAGGTGTGTATACGCCCTCGTCAATCATGCCAGGAGTCTCACTAACCATTGAAGGTTCACAGTATTCAGGAGGAGGCATATTGTCTGGAAACATACTAAACGAGTGACAAGGGTAAAACTATGGGAGAGTAAGTAATATATTGCAGTCAACAAGGTAGGAAATGCCAACTGAAGCATTATATACTACTATGCCTCATGTAACACCGGTGTTTTCCAGGCGGCAGAGCATATCATTATCTCCTTCCTCACTATCAATGGAATCCGGGATTCCTATTGCCTGTCCTTTTTTGGTAATTCAGCTGATTATATAATATTTCTAGGGCGCGACAAAAAAGAATGGCGTAGACAAGGTATTCCAAAAACACTGTAATTAGCAGCAAAAGACATTGGTACATGTCTTTATATTGTGTGGACGAGCTTGCTTTGCCTTGTTGGATTCTTGAATTCAATTTTTCCTGGACCCCTAGGTTCCAGGTTTCCAAAGCACAAATGTCCGCTGCGTTTTCCAAGGACCTTTTGGTCATTACTCATTTATGTTTACGCTTCCTTTCCTTTCTCGCACTTTCGGCTCATTCCGTCTATTGTCACGTGGCTACCTTGGCGCTACTCACTCTTACATCTATTGTACATTGTTGCTCTGCGATCATTGTAAAGACCACACAAAATGTTAACTGTAATGGCATGCTATGTGATCTGGACACAGCTGGGGCCAGGTCTGCCCCAGAGGGCAATGATTATATGGGATGACAATGTCACTAATAGGGCACCAGTATGGTGTGATATTTTTCCGTGAACCTTCTTATAATGTATGTTTTCCATCCTTTATTTTTTTCCCCAGCCAGTCATCTATTGATTGGTGGTCATGTTGCTGTACTGGCATACTGGCAGCTTCAGTATGTATTGTCTGCCAATTACACTTTGCTACCAGTGCATGCTCTGGGCCAATTCAGAACAATACAAAGGTCACATCCAATGGAACTTTAGGCAGCTCACCACATGATTTGAATGGTGTTTGGTATAGCTCCACCAAAAGGGAGGTGTTTGGTTCTATACCAGGGTCAACTAGATCTCCTGTTCAAGGCGATGAGGCTTTCAAAATTGTGTCTTTATCGGAGATTACATACCAGGAACCTATCCAAACTATTTCATCAGTTTTGAGTTAGCGCTGAGTGTGTGCTCATTATGAACGTGAGGCTGCTTTCTCCGACGCCAGTGATAAATATACTCATTTTATACCCCTTGTTTCAGATGACGTCCTTGTATATGTGGTTGACAAAACTAAAGCATTATGCATCATGGTTGATGCATAATCTGGGATATTTGTATTGCAGAGCATGGCTTTTCTGCAATGTTTTCATTGTGTAGGTTTGGTACTTAGTACTTGGTAGACAAGTTATTTATAACAGCAATACAAGCATATTGAATCAAAATTATGTATCACCAACTTCCATTTTAGGATGTGGCTAAGGCTAATCACTCACTTCAGGCAGCCAACAAATTGGGGCTCTTAGCTTGATCATCCTCACCAAAAGGTTGGGGCTAAAATCCCCCTTTTCATGGTCTACCTATGGCCATTGTAGTGGCGCCCAAGTTGCCAGTCCCTGACTCTGACCAAAGTACAGTGCAGGATTTAATAATAGCAACAAAATTGTGCAATTGTATTTTCAAGAAAATTGTTAGGATTGCATAAGGGATCATTACAAGCAAATTTGTACTACATTTTTCACGGTTTGACAACGTCCAAGTCAAGTATCTGGAAGGGATTATCCAGGTTCATATCATCATTGGACAGTTCCCAGTCTCCATCTTTGTGCGCTCGCTGTTTTGCTTTTCCCTTTGTTGCTGCTGACAATTTTCCCTTTTTTGTGGGCAAAGATTTTGCTGCCTCTGGTGCTTCCTGCGCGTGTCTTTTACCTTTGCCTTTTTAGGTTCCAGGTTGAACTTTGGTGTCTCCAACATTTGCAGGTAAGTTGAAGATAGACTTCTGAGCAGAGATGGACTGAGGCAAGGTTCGCAAAGTTTGAAGTATAACATTGTATGCCCGGGAGTCTCTCTTCTCAGGGTTACCACTGAATGTCCACCTATATGAGTATATAGTCAGATAATAAATAAAACTTGGATTTAGAAGACGTTACAGTTTTAAATGAATTTCAATGGAAACCATTGCCACATGTTTCAGACAAGCACAATGTTGATGATGAGAACTGTAGTTAGAAAACCACACACAAAACAAACTAACACACAATCCTCCCAGATTCCATGGAACTTGTTTATGGGCTTTGCCTCCTAGAACAGTGGGTGCTCTGGTTGGTATGTATGATGATCCTTCAAAGTAAAACCCAAAGATGTATGGGTGTGGGTTTTGAGGGGGAGGGATAGTTGGAATATAGAAAGATAGGGGCTTTGTGGCGAGTATAGACGAGCACTACCTTGCTAATTGTAGCACAAGGTAGGTCTGAGAATGATGAGATGATGAGGTGATGAGGTTCCCAGTGATAGCAGGCTCCTGACGCACAAACTGTAGTGCTCAGAAGGACTCTAATCGAAAGGGATGACAATGACTTCAAAAGTGGGAAGTGACGATGACAGCAGTTGACAGTGGTAGAAGTGGGAAGTGTTGTGACCACACTGGATCACAAGTAGCAGAGTAGTGAACTTGAGAGTAGAGAAGAAGTCTGGATTGGAGTTCTTGTTGTTTTTACAAGGTAAAATACAGGGGTTTATATAGTAAAAGAAAAGTAGGCTATGCACAGTATAGCTGTGCAAAAAGAATGAGAAAGAATATGAAGGAAGGAATGTACGCTGACAAATCCTGCGTAGGTAGTACAGGATAAGATTGTAAAAAAAGGAAAAGAAAGAGATAGAACAATGCATGCTGTGAGTAATGTCACAGGTTTGTACAGCCATAAAGTAAAGTCCAATAGCAAAAAGAGAGCAGGAAAATCATGATGTCATGGGAAGATGCAGTAAAAAAGGGCAAGGCAAAACACTATCAGTATCAACACAGTTCCTTTATTGTCAGTCAGGCATTCTAAAAAATATGTGTCCATAAAAATGATTCAAAAATCAAAAAATAATCGCACTGTAAATGAATATTCTGCTGAAGAAAAAGAAACTGGAGCCACCGGTCCACCACCTAGTCCAAATCCGACAGTTCCATGGCCTTACCAATGGACTGGTTGTGTTGGACCACCTGATCAAACGAGGGAGGGAGAGGAGTAGTTCCAATTTGGAACAAGTGAGTCCCAGGCAGCGTGTGGTAGGTGTAGCTGTAGCGAAGACGATGGACAAAAGATAAGTGTACCCAAGTGAATGGGACAGCGATGAACATGGGCGACGCAAGGGGATGAACCTTCTCCAGCTCAAAAACTACCCACCCACGCTCCAACCAGGCAAGGCGAGCGACCAATGTTTTGATAGTATATGATGGCAGATCGACGTCATGAAGATGGACCTGTTGCCCTATTTGGACCGGCCGCCGGGGCTTTGCTGATATCAGCAGTGGCACGTGGTAGTCAACGGATCGGCGACGGAAGCAGATAGGAAGTGGTGACATCAGAAATGGTGGGGGTGCAAATAAGATGAGGAGGAGGAGGGTGGAGGTGACGAACAAGTGGATTAGAATGGGGATCCAGAAACGACCGTCAGGTGAGAGTAAAAAGGAGAGGAAGGGGCCCATGGTGGGGCTAGGCAAAGGAAGGGGAGTAAGGGAAACGACAAAAGCGAGGGCGCAATGCAATGTGTAGCCAGTGGCGACGCAAAAATTTGCCGAAATGCCGAAACGCGGAAAGTACCGGATGGAAAAGCAAAGGTGAGCGTGACTGGATTGCCTAATAGAGGTGGTGCTGATCAGCCACAAGTTCGAAAAGGGCAATATTAATTACTATTCCACGTGGCACTGTGCCTGTGTGGCGCAAAGGCGAGTCTTTTTGAATATTCGCTTCGTTATTGGCACCTGTCCATGCTACCAATCATCTTTGGTGCATGACAACGGCAATGAAAATTATTTATGGAAAGACGGGCTCTTCCATTTTAAAGACAAGATCTATGTACCTGAGTCCACAAAGATCAAGGCAATAGATAGACATCATGACACTCCAGTGGCTGGGCACCCTGGGTGGCAACGAACAATGGAGTTGATCTCCAGAAATTACATGTGGCCTGGCATGGTCAAAGACGTACAGGAATACGTAAAATCCTGTCTGAGATGTGCTATGGCAAAGAATTCTCATCAACCGCTGGCCGGTAAACTTATGCCAAACCCGATACCAGCTGGTCCCTGGCAGGATATATCGGTGGACTTCACAACAGATCTGCCCGAGTCAAATGGGTATGATTCAGTAATGGTGGTAGTAGATCGCTTCTCCAAAGAAGTGGTATTCATACCCACCAATAAAACCATTACCGCCGCTGGTACAGCAGAATTATTTAAAGATTTTGTATGGTCTATCCATGGGTTGCCAGAAACGGTTATCTCCGATAGAGGACCTCAATTCGCTAGCGAGTTTACGAAAGAATTATGTTGGATGCTGGGCATCAAACCTAAATTATCAACGGTGTTCCATCCGCAGACTGATGGACAAACGGAGAGACTCAACCAGGAGTTGAAACAATATCTCTGGATATTTATTAATGACAGACAGACGGATTGGGCCAAGTGGCTAAAAATAGCCCAGTTCTCTTATAATATCAAACAGTCGTCGGCTACAGGAAAGGCACCATTCGAGGTCACTAGATTGTACCTCCCCAGAATGGGTGTAGAACCTGGCAAAAGCAAGAACGAGGCTGCTGAGAACATGGTAATAGACATGAAGTCTGTCTTGGACAAAACGCACAAGGCGCTATTTAAAACTGCAGAGCAGATGAAAGACAGGGCAGAGTGTAGACGCTCTAAGGCCCCTGACTACAAGGTCGGCGACCTGGTCTGGTTAGATACCGACCACTTAAAATTAAAAGATCGGCAGTCTAGGAAACTGACCAAAAAGTGGATTGGCCCTTACTGGATTAAGGAAGTCAAGCCCAATGCGGTAGAGCTGGAACTCCCAAAACGAATGAGGGTAGTACCCACGGTCAACATTAGCCGTGTAAAACCCTACAAAGGGCTGCTGCCGGGACAGTGTGTAGACCGGCCCAGACCGGTTGTAGTCACCCAGGAAAGTGAAGAAGAGTTCGAAGTCGAACAAGTGGTGGATGCACGCTTGAAGCATGGAAAATTAGAGTTCCTAGTCCTATGGAAGGGCTATGGAGATGAGGACAGAACGTGGGAACCAGAAGCCCATCTGGACAATTCCTGCGACACTGTTCACGAGTTTTATTCTAAGAATCCCTCAGCTCCTAGGAAGCTTAGAGGCATGGATTCAAAACTTTTTAATTCTCTTTTTCAACCTATGCCCGAAAATTTAACTACTACCTCCGGTATTTGGTCTCGCCTGGAAGTTGAGCCTTAGAAAGGGGGTAGTGTTACAATAACACAATTTCCGGACATTCCCTTTATTTTATTCTCTGCTTTAACTTTGTACTTTAGCTTTCACACATAGTGCCACGCGGCACTTCCCCTTTCTCGTGCCGCGTTGCCTTTCTTCTTATTTTGGACACAACTCTCTCACACAGTGGAGCTGGCCATGCGGGCTAGGCCCCATAACATTATCAGCCACTGTCTCTATCAAACTGTATAGTACACATGTACAAATAACCCTGTAGTAGTATATATACCCCAATAGATCCAGGAGACTCCTCAGCGAGTCCTTCTGTTGTATACCAACTAACTCACTGCATTTCAAGGGGTAACCACTCCCTCTTCATCTTCTCTATAGTGTGTTCCTGTGTGCGCCGGAGTAACTAACTCTTGGTTGTTACAGAACCGGTGTTTGCCCACCTTCAGGATGTGCATGTAAATATGCACAATGCAAATATCACCGACTTCACACCTCTCGCACCTGGTCACTTCATTGCTGTTCTGAAACCGGGAGAACAGAAAGATCAACCCGAGATCTTACTGGGTGAAGGTGAGCTTTATGCGGTTTTGCAATCACCTTCATTGCTGATACTTCTCCACCCTAGTTCTGACTATCACAACACAATGGGATCCGCACCCGTGTACAGTGATTCTGGACCTTCTGGGCATGCAACCAATCAGTATGCTTTCCAAGTACGCCTTGGTAGTTTAGTTGGTAAAGCACCAGACCATGAAAGCTGGAGTCCCAGGTTCAAGCCCTGGCCAATGCATGTTTTCTCATACTATAAACAAATGTCATAATTTGTCACTGACAATGTACACTAATAGCGGTGGCCGTGGACCACAACATTGTTGGATACCCTGTATGAATTGTGTGGGGATTCCATCATACATCAACATCCGTGTTTTCCGCTTATCATTTGGATGCACCTATTCATCCATGTCTTGCCCTCCTCTAGGCACCTCGTCTTTCATGCGGATCCCGCAAATGCATATCATATTCTCCTTTTCAACAGCCTCGCGCGACATCACCATTTGTTCCATCGGAACTGACAATGCCCACCCTTTTTGTAAAACCCTTATCCCCTATACCGAGTTAACGGAGGGATGAAGGCTCAAATCAAACAAGTAGCATTACAAATAGTGATTGAGAATTAATCAACAACTGAGGAAAGTATGTACATGGTGGTCTACTATATATATGTTTCTGAAAGTCAGCCATGAGGCGCTGACTGATCTAACATGCAGCAGCCATGAGGCGCTGACTGATGTTCTTTGTAATGATTCTAGACTCTTGTCACGTGATGGTCACGTGATCTGATATAACTATGTATTATGTTATCCGCGCTAAAGCAGCAGCTTAACATATCTTATCTGTCATGTGATCAGATATCAAAGAAAATGAAAAAAGGAAACTAGCGCTCAGACTAGCGCTTCTGGTTCAAGTCGTGACACTTTTGCCTTAGTAACACTCAGTCCCTTCTCTACGGGTATTATGCAAGCATTGTGCCACAGGATTCACGCTACTCACGCCGCCGTACAGCTTCTTATCAAAGCCCGCCATGGGGGAGGGCCGGTGGTTGCAGATGCATTGCCAAACGGCACTGATGATGCAGAAGATTTGGGGGCAGAGGGCGTCGACGGCAAAGAGGATACCTTCAGCAGTGACGAAGATATCTAATTGGTGTAACAACCAAGAGTTATTTACTCTGGCGCACACAGGAACACACTATAAAGAAGATGATGGGGAGTGGTTACCCCTTAGGCTGCAGTGAGTTAGTTGTGCTAGACAATAGGAGGACTCGCTGAGTCCTTCCCCATGTATTGCTCTTGTATATATACTAATATACATGAGGTACTGTACAGTTGTAAATAAAGTTCAAAGTCCAATGTCTAGCATGTGACCGGTCACATGATGAGTCTAGACACTGGTCATGTGACTATGAAAAGTCCGAAAATGTAAAGTAAAGTAAATGGTCACATGACTGGTCATGTGACTTGGAAAATAAAAGTAGAAGTACAAAAGTGAAGCGTAAGTAGGTGCTGGTATGTCGATTGTAACAATTGGCATCCCTTTTTTACTTTTTATTGACTACTAATACATATACCTCCCTTTGTACACTAGTCATACTATAGCATTCTACTTACTGTCCTCTCTCTGTTTGTGCGGACAGATCCCTCACGATCTGAGGTCATATCCTGCTGTGCAGACGGATCCCTCATGATCCAAAGTTGTATCCTGCCAGGTGGATAAGGTGCTTGCGAATTGAGGTAGTATCCTTTTGGCAGACAGATGGCGGGGGAAAAATTGAGGACCAAGTAAAATGCGGACGGAACTGAGCCAAATCAGTAAGGACGGAAAGGCCAAAATTTGGCGATTTTGGATAGGACATTTATACCAATACGCGGGGGTCCTGTACAAACACGGTTATCCAAGACAAATAGAGCAAAGGCATACCACGCTCGCTTCGTTTTGTTGATGATGTCGAGCAGACTCGAGCTACCGCCATACCATGAACAAGGTATGTGATTATATATCCAACCGATGATGAACTAGCGTCCCGGTTAATACCCGTACAACTGGTGGTCACATGCCAGGTATTGATTGTTGCTGTGTCTCATCGCTGATGGTCTCATTGTATCTGCGGGCCAAAAGGTGGCGGAGAAGTGAATTAATTCAGTCCCACCATTATTTCTCGCTTCACAGCCAGCCCTTCTGGTCGTATCATTTCGTTTCCTAGGAGTGTATACTACAAGATCGTAGTCATAACATGGTGACACAACGACATCACACTGGTGTTATCAGTCTTGTAGGGACCCGATGCTTTCTGCCTGTTTGGAATGCTATTAAAACTCTTTTTGGATTCATGATGAAGGAGGCCGCTGACCGACCCATCGTTATATTCCGGAAATGGCTCACCTCTCCCCCGAGGACAATGTCACGAGACTGCCTTCGACTCGGATAGAGGGCTCGAAGCTCGAGATTACAACCCGCTCGCACCAATTAGTCTCTCACACACGCCGTACATCACTTGGCGTAGCGTACATACCATTATCTGCCATCATCAACATCAGCACAGCACAGTCTATCGAGTGTCCATTTCCAAACGGCAGAACTAGCCGCGATAGTGGCTTGATGATTGATTTGCAGGAAGACGACCATCAAACTATGCTGTTACCTCTATCCATCACCTCTGCTGATGCTGTCGATAGAAACATGCGAGCAATGTGTTTCACCGAATACGGCTGGCGCCGAAGGAAGTACCTAATACTCCATCTAGAGCGAACAGCTCACCTGTGTCTTTTGTATTACCCTCAAACCGAGAAGCTTGTATTTAAATTCGAGCAAGTAAATGAAGCTTGTAAACAAGAGCCATCCGAAAAATATGAAGACTTACCGGACCTACAAGCTCGCATGGCAACGGTCAATGATTGGGCCAGTCGATGGACGAAGATCGTAAGCCTGGAAAACCATCAACCGATCGGCCAGCTGATTATGAGAAGAACCACTTGCGCTGCGATGGGAGAAGATCAATGATGCAAAGTTGAGCCGGAAGATATGAATAGCCGTATCTTTTCGGTCTGGGCGTCATGAGCGTTACGTCCAATGTTATAACATTCTACAAGTATCTGTGTAAGTAAACAGCCTGTAGAGAATAGGCTGGGCGCGCAGTAGGTTCATATATGTCTGGTGTCTTAGGTACGGATACAACTATTACAATACAGATGTTAGGTCTATTACTACTAATCGAAAACCTTGACAAGCAGCTTCCCCGTTGTCTTACCGCCTGTCAGATCTTTTTGTGCCTGCTGAACCCCTTCAGCGGTGAATGGATATTCCTTAAAGACTTGACTCTTCAGCGTTCCATTCGCCAGCAGACCGAACAGCTTCTGTCCGTAACTGAAAACCTCCTCAGCAGTATACGCGTAGTTGCTCACGCTAAATTTTCATCTGGTATGTGAGTCACTAGTTTGTAGATATGAAAACGGACGCACGTAGGTCGCAGCAACTTCACGTTCTTTTCTACCAACTTCAGAGGCGGGAAAGGAGGGACAGCGCCTGACGCATTGCCTACGGAAACAATCGTTCCTTTTCGTCTGATCATCGCGAAGTTGGCATCAAATCTGAAGGGAAATTGTGTTACTGGACGTGGGAAAATATCGAGACGAAACGTACGTGTCTTTCCCAACACCATCGAAAATGGCATGAACTCCCTCGCCATTAGTGATCTCCAAGACCCTTGCTGTGGTATCCTCGTTGCGATACACGATGACGTGGTCGGCTCCGTTTGCCTTTGCCAATTCGGCCTTTTCTGGTGTCGACGTCGTGCCGATGACGGTCGCACCCCTAGATTTGGCAAGCTGCGCCATTAAGAGCCCGAGGCCGCCGGCAACAGTATGAATAAGAATAATATCTCCTTTCTGGACGTTATATGATTCTTCCATAAACGAGATGGCTGTGACACCCTGGACAAGGGTAGAGACCGCCGCCACTGTTGATATCGAGTCTGGGATTGGATAGACAGTCCTCCATGGTACAGATATATATTCTGCATGAGTGCTCAGGAAATCCTAGTATGCGGTATGGTGCAGTCCTGTTAACTTAAGGATGAATGGAGACCAAGTATGAACATACTACACCAACGCGACTCCCTACCCTGTAACCCCGTTTTTGATAATCAGGATCACTCAAAACAGTATCGTCCGTGGGTAGGGCCACGACGATACCAGCTGTTTCTTTTCCGAGAACGAAAGGAAAGGATGAGACAGGATAGATGCCCTGTCTGTGCGACGCTCAGCACACCTCGGCAGAAAGCCCAGCTAAGTATTGCTAACCTGTAGTATGTATCAATGAAGTTCACGCCGAGATATTGTACCTAGGTGTCTAAAGTGTAAGATAGGGGACTGATCCCGACAGAATGGACAGACCTTGATAACGAGATGGCCTGGTGCGACGTCTGGGAAAGGGATTGTGGTTTTTTCAATCACATCGACGCCGCCGTGCTTTGCGATGGTGATAGCTTGGATGGCTGTGGGGAAAGACATACTTCGGAGTGGTGTGAAGTGTCTGGCAAGGAGGTTGAGCCTGGGCAGCAGCATGAACGCCCGGTTTTATACGATCTTTGTCTGTACAGGGTTTGTTATATCCAGGCGATGAGTAAGCGTGGTGTTCTATCCCCAGAGCCATCGCCTTTCCATCTGTTCTCATGAAAAGACAAAGTAAGAGCCGGAGCTCCGGCCCTTGGTGTTGAGCCTGCATTTGGAACAGTGCCAGCATAGGCATCATGATCATGAATCCGAGAGAAATACATGTCAGCTTTTGGGTCCCAAAACGTGGTACTAGTAACCAGGTACTATACACAGCCATACTCTGACAGCTGAATATTGATCCATACAACCTACAAGCTTGTCAAAACGTTCCAGTCTCTCCATTATTAGTAACAGCCTTAACCGAGCAGAGCGCTCTGCGAATCGTGTCGGCTCAACATGCTCCTCTGCGCGAATATGCTTGCACTAGAAGCTCATATATCAATACGAGCTGCTCCTCCCTTTGCACCATACCCGGTCTCTGCTCCCTCAGCGAATCAACCTCCTGAGCAACGGGATCATCTTCAAATTCCTTGGGAAGCGGTCCTAGGGGCGACTGGGGTAGGGTATGCGGGTACTTGATCAGCGGTCTGGGTAATGATGCAGACAGCGAAGACATATTAAATAGACCAAACGCCCTGAACAAAGACGAGATGGCAACGAACGATCCAGTGCGTCCAATCCCTGCGGAGCAATTCACCATGATAGGGGGGTCAGGATCCGACACAGCATCCTGAGAGGAAGTATTTTTGTTCGTTTCATCAACGAGCCGCAGAAAAGATAGCAAACTCTCTTTGTCTTCCTCTTCTGGAACGCCATGATCGGGCCATGCCGCATACAGCATGTGAGTAAAAATCACCGACTGGGCACGATCCTGATTGGATTGGAGGATAGGAATGGATACCTTAAGTTTGCTTTGGATGCAGCGTGACTCCTTCAATGTCCGGCTTTCCAGTAAAGTAACTTGCAACGATGGAGCAGTGCAACCTCGTTCCGGCGGCACGATGAACGACTGACCAGGTTTAGAAGGAAAGTATGCATCTGCTTTTCGTCTTCCACTCTCGAAGTTCTGAGTGAGCTGTACAACAGTACGCACTCTACTTGGTATCGGGGGCGATGTTGCAGAGTCTAAGGTCATGGGACGATGTATCGGCTGGAGCAAGGCGCTTAGGAATACATGAGAGGTTTGTGGCAGGGGTGCCTGGGTTGCGATCCACCACTTTCCACCAAACAACTCCCGCACCCAGCTACCATTGAAATATCTGCCATCGAGAGAAGCAACTGTGCTGTTCACGCTGCCATCTGCCAGTGCACCTACAGCGCCCCCTACGATAACGCGAGTTCGATCATAAGGCTCGATATTTGAGTAACGATTTCCCCACAAGTTGTCTGGGTTAGCGCCAACGGAGATAGAGTAATATTTGGAGAGCTCATTGCTAGCAGAGGGCGATAGAACCTGGCGAACTCGCGAAGGCAATACTTGCGGCCGCGTGGCCTTACGAGCGTTATTCCGGGTACGCTCACGAGCCTGGAGTAAGCTCAGGGAACTATCAATATGGTCTGCGCTGGATGCTAATTGGAGCCAGCGGGGGATGTTGTTTGTTGAGGTGCTACCCATTTCTCCCTGGGGGCAAGAGATGATACTGAGCTCACAGCCGGCGGAGACATTGTAAATGTCCAGATCGGGACATCTATTTCCCACGGTAATATATCGAAAGCGCCTTTTACATAACCTTCCGGATCTGGCGGACATGACTGGAAAGTTCCTTCTGCTTGTTACAGTATTTCTGATTTTCTACACGAGGCGGCGGTATTTGCTATGTTTGCATGATGGAGTCCACATACAAGTCTCTCATTTCCTCCGGGATAAAGATAAAGTTCGTGGCTATCCAACAATGTTTGAAATGCGTCTGCTTATCTCCCATGGGGGTGGTAACAGAGTCAGCTCCACCTTGGACAATTCTGTCGGAAAGAAGAATATCATTGATGATAACCTCGAGACTTGCTGGACATCTCAACAGGTGAGCCGTCTCTCACAATTTTTTATTTTCTATCTTCCTCTCCCCCGCTGAATCTCCTCTTTGTAGGGTCTTCCGCAGTATATCCAACTGGTGTTCCCCGAACTAGTGATACCGAAAAGCATATCCCTTACTTTCCAAGGCGGATTCGTCGGGACACGGTGTTCTGTAGACGTCCTTGCTTCATCAGAAGGTGCCAAGTGGAAGTCTTTTACACGGATATACCCTGAGGATGTAAACCGGCGGCAGACCTTCGACCTAGTCCCACACGACTTGAGTTCAGATCCCACGACGGAAGGGGTCAAGGCCATCAAAGTCGTATTTGAGGAGAGCTCTGACTTCTTTGGAAGGATCACTGTATATGACTTGAAGCTCGAAGGGGTGGCTTTATAATTGTTCGATCTGTTCGGGCTATCGAGGAACCTTTTCCAACCCTCGGAGGCAACTTAGTTCGCATCTTGCCTTTCGCTACATTTCACGTCGTGTGACAACCGACATACCTAGAAGAACAGTACTGGATTACATCTACATTTAAAATACTGCGGGGATAAAGCATTAGCACCCACCGGTCGTATGAATTGTAGCTAAGGCGGAACTTGATGGGCGTTTTGCGTATATATCCGCAAACTACGAGAGGTCCGTTGGTACTTACTTATCCTAATGCATATGCTTTCTTTCCATAGTACCTCGATTCAGAATAGGTATTTAATTTGGTCGCTATTGTGTCTTATTGTTAGCTAATTTAGTTAGCATGAGCTCCGCATTAACTATTACTTCGAACACTCGAACTCCACGTAGATATCTAACCATTCAATGGCCCCTAAGAAGAACTCAATTGTATTGCAGTATAAAATGATTCATTACGCCACTTTTTTATACCCGCATAGGGGGCAAGATAAGCTAGGCTGTCGTGTAGTAGCACTTGATGTCGTTAGGTGGAGGCTGGGAAGAACAATCCGGCCTGCTTTGGCCAATTAGGGGCGTATTTTGAGGTATAATTGGAACATTGTCGACTGTCGCATTTTCTTTCACGGGCAAGGACGGGTTTACTACCGTGTGCATAGAATCGATCACGGGTTTAGCATCGTATGAGGTGTTTCCGGCATTCGTGAGGTTCTCGTCAATATTCATATCCATATTAGCTATCGGGATGCTCTGACGGGCTTCGTAGGTGTGAGCTGGATGCGGGTTGGGTTGTGAGTAGTAGTGATGCAACGAATTTAAGAGACACTTACAGGGTGACCGACCGTGATGGTGGGTGTATGTGATGGATTGCGCGGAAATTGCTTGAGGGTTACTGGAACCAGAGCCTGAGGGAGCTCCATGGACAGCTGGCCAAGTCGACGATAGGGCAATGGAGACAATAAAGACTGAGGGGCTGGATATGACACGCATTGTAGAGATTTAGTACTCGTTGCAAGATACGTCAGTGTGTAGTATAGATATTATATCTAGAGGTTGGTTGGACTTTGAGGTCGTCGATGATGTTTCCAGTGGAGAGAGAGATGCGCTGGGGAATGAGCGAGGAAATAGGGGGAGGTTTTATGACTTGGTCGTAGCTGGCGGATGACAGGCCTCGAGGGAGGATGGACGAGCTACGCCGGCCAGCCGCCTGTGATGGATAGAGGATCCCTTCCCCGATCCAAGGCTCGGATAACAGACACATGGAATGATGGATAGATACACTTGTAACCATACAACTCACGTCTCTGAGACTTGAACTCAATTCTGGAAAGATAATCTTCATCCGACCAGCGCTCGCTTGGTTCATGGAGGTAGATTCTGTTCATGAAACGAATGACCCGCAGACAAATAGCAATAGACATGACCATTGTAACCACAGTCGGTCTAGGGAAAAGTAGCATCTAATGGAAAATTTGATATTTCTCATGTTACAGACCCAAATCAGCGCCTGCACAAAAGCCCCTAAGTGATACTCTCCATAATACAACAGTACAACCACGTAGGCCGGCAGATGAGTTACTACATGATCTAACTTGGTTGCGAGTAACATTGCTCGCGGTCGAATCCGGTATCGTTATCGCATTTTGCATTGGGGCTGGTCAACGGGGTATCTTGGGGAGTGAGAGTGGTATTGTATACTGTAGCAGTTGCATTTACAGGCGGGGGAGGGATTTGATTTCGCACATCTACCACAATGGGTATAGTCCGGGGCGAGGTGTTTGTGACATTTGTGATGTTATTGACATTCAGATCACTTATTGGGGCGCCCAGATAAGGTTCGAGAGTTTGAGCTGGAGGCGGGGTACATGGTTAGTAGCAGGATGTAACGAATTTAAAAGACACTTGCAGAGTGTCCGGCTATGATGGTGGGCGTGCGCGATGTCGTGCGCGGAGGCTGCTTGAGGATTACTGGCATCGAAGCTTGAGGGAGCCCCGTTCACGCTTGACCAAGTCGACGATACTCCGATGGAGACAAGAAGAACTAGGGCGCTGGTTGTGAAACGCATTGTCGAGAATTTGAGTTGCAATGAGGACGCGGGGTATGTGTATAGTGAACTTGAGGGCGTTATGATTAGAGGAAATAGGGATGCTGGGGAATGAGCGAGAGAGCATACAGGCTTTATATGACTGTCTAAGCTGGCGCATGACAGGCATCGGTGGACGTATTGTGCAGGTCAGCCGCCAGCGATAGCTGACCTTTCCGATCCAAACTTGGAGGATCATCGCACCCCGGAAATTGCCAGCTTCTACCACTGTGGCTGTCTTGAATTTGCGTTTATTCAGGTTCTCCCCCACTGTTCGTATACTTCGCACAGTCTAACCATTTTTAAAATTCGCTTGCGATTTTCAAGTTATTATAATGCATGCAATCGAGAACTCAACCAGGTTCCTCCCATCTATTAACATAATTGTGTCAGTGACTCGGGTTGCTTTGTTAAGAAGATATAGATATACGTGCAGAACCTCATGCTTTCTTCTCTTGTCTGGTGGTAGTACAGTTGAGGATGTAGCATATTAAGCGCACTCTCAAACTACGGCTCAATGACCCCTATAAACGCATCGCAAGTTACTAAATGATCTAACTCGGTTGCGTGTAACATTGCTCGCGGTCCAATCCAGTGTCGTGAGCGCATTGGGCTGGTTAACGGGGTGTGAGGGTGGTGCTGTTTACTGTAGCAGTTGCATTCACAGGCGGGGGAGGGATGGGATTTGATTTCGCACATCTTCTACAATGTGTATAGTCTGGGGCGAGGTGTTTGTGCCATCTATAATGTTGGTTTTAACAGTCATAAGGCCTAGCAGGCGGAAAAAACATCTGGCAGTGTGAGCTGGGTGCGGGGTACATGGTTAATGGCAGGATGCAACGAATTTAAGAAACACTTGCAGAGTGATGGACTGTGATGGTGGGCGTGCGGGATGTCGTGTGCGGCTGCTGCTTGAGGAATACTGGCATCGAAGCCTGAGGGAGCCCCGTTCACGCCTGACCAAATCGACGATACTCCGATGGAGACAAGAAAAACTAGGGCGCTGGTTGTGAAACGCATTTTCGAGGTTTTGGATTACAACGAATACGCGGGGTTAGCTACTTGAGGACGTTGATAGTAGAGGAGATAGAAATGTTGGGAATGAGCGAGAGAGCATGCAGGCTTTATATGACTGTCTGAGCTAGCGGATGGCAGGGCATCGGTGGACATATTGTGCAGGTCAGCCGCCAGCGATAGGATGGCTCCAGAAAATAGTACAAAACCAATCACCTGCGCATGCAACGATATGATGTATTAACTCGACCACTCCAAACCTACGAGCTTAATTTAGTTTATTTTTTAATCTCTTTTAGGCTTAATGGACTCTGACACCCACCTTTTTGCGTAGATGACTAGACATGACTGCATCTCCTATGTGTATAAACTTCGTTCTGACTTCCATTTAGGCAATCACAAAGACTCGCAGAAGGAAACGTACGGCCATCTCAATAGAACATTCAGGTGAGAACCATCCAAATGCCATAAAGAATGTGATATTGGACCAAATACAACTTGTTTACATACACGACGAACCAGACAGACATGCTATCATTCCAGATAAATGAAACGATCTGCAGCGGCCGGGGTCTGGGCTGGTGGGCTGGGCGCGGGAGCAGATGTGGTAGCGGGTACCACCGCGGATGCGTTAACTGGTAGAGGTGGTATAGCACTGGTCACGTTGGCAGGTGATACGTTGGGTATGGCACTAGTCACGTTAGCAGGCGACACATTGGGCTTCGCAGCCGGAACTGCTAGCTGTGGAAGGGGTGAAAGGCCTGGGAGTTCTCCTTGTGTTCCTGGTAGTGATGAAGTAAGGCCGTCTATTCCTGAAATACCTGAACCAAGGCTGCCTGAAGTAAGGCCGCCTGTTAAACCCGATACAGTACTTCCTAGTGTGCTCAATTCAGGATGTATGTCCTGCAATTTTTGCACGGTGTCTGCCAGTACCGCGGCTGTTTCGTTGTCCAAAGGAGTCCCGTCCAAAAGATTTTGTAGGGACGCAAGAAGGCCACTCAGGAGAGAAGTCACTGGGTCCAAGAGCCCGCGTGCGTCATGACCGTGCGGTGGGTTCGAATGGTTGTGCGATGATTTCGAATGGCCGTGCGCTGACCCGAGATCAATGTATTACAAAGGAAGTAGGAGAGAGAGTAATGGTGCACTCACCGTAGACAGGTTGGCGTTTGTGGTGACCGTGGGCTGGATGAGGGATAAACGGTGAGACGAACTTATCAGAGAGGAAGTAGAAGGATGGGAGAATGGTACGCTTACCGTTTGCGGGATCGTGCGCGTGGGTGCCATGGTGGACATGGGCTGGATGAGGAATGGACGCTTAGATAGGACACTATGCAAAGGGATAACGATACACTAACTGCTTGCCGGAACATGCGTGTGGGTGTGAGTGCCGTGGTGAGTGTGGGCTGCATGCGGGTAGGGTGTTAGATAAATGATCGTAAGAATGAGGGAGGCGGTACTCACATCCTGGAACATGGGTATGAGAGTGATGGCCTTCATGATCATTAGCTGCCTGAACACCGTTATCACTAGCGGGAGCACCGAGGACGCCAGACAAGCTCGACGATGCGGCAAGAGTCACAAGGAGGGCAAGGGGACTGGCCGAATAACGCATGATGAAGGATGTATGAAGGGTCTTGATCAACAAGATAATAGAATGGGATGAAAGCAAGTGAGCACGGGTATAGACGGTAGTGAATGTGATGTGAAGAATGGAAGAGAGGAGTACTGAAGAAATTTGGGAGGGAGGGTCGGGTTCTTATACCACACAGATATCGTGTCGGGCGGCTGACAGACTTTGGGCGGTCTCGAATGCAATAGTATTTGGGCGGATACAGACCAGGAGGTTGGAGCTTACCTTGGGACCAGGCGATAATACAAGGTGTCAGCCACCGTAGAGATTGGAAGACTCCATAGTACAAGTCAGACATACGATCTGACTGACTGATGAAAAATCCAGGACCGTCATATAGCACGACTGCAAAACCAACAGATTGTCAATGCCAGGCGTATTACATACAGATTCACAGCAAAAGGTGCTTTGAAGGTTGGGATGGATGCGGTATCACAGCAGAATGGCGGCTATGAGAAATGGCGAGAACTCTATCACGAACTTCTCCCTCTATATTCCATCTCCCATATCTCGTCTCCAAGTCCCCTCCTTTGCCTGGCGCGAGAACCAGGACCATTGCTGGAACTGTTGGAAGATGCCGAGAGGAGCATGGTGTCCCAGAGTTCTGAGAAGAACTGCAACAAGGGTCTCCCAAGACACGAGGACAAAATGCACCAACACAAGGCGGCCGTCCTGTCCGAGGAAACGATGAGACAGGGAGTGGCGTAAGTGGAAGAAAGACGGCACCAATCACATCATGAGGACAAGGACAAGGAACAAAAGTACGAGCGACGTATAACTTTCCTCGACGGCCATTGCTGTTCTGTGTAAAGCTGAGTGACTTGAAAGCAGAGCGGCAGGCGATGAACTTGGCACGGGAACACGCTGTCAAAATTTAGCTCCAAAAGCGGGGATCGTGGAAAGTTTGTCTGATAAGATAAATAATATATAATATTAGGTGCATGGCTATTCCCGGCCGGGTTTATCTGATTAGTATGTTCGTTTATGCCCACACCGCACAGCACAGCACTCGGCATACGGATATGTCAGAATCGGAGAGTGAATCTTTACCGCTCAAGCGATACCAGCACCACAGAAAAACACCTTATCTTCTACCAAGTCTCTACGCATCTTTCTGTGATTCGTGTCGAGATTGCCCGCATCCGCAAGGTAACTAAAATGCACTTTTGAGTCTGATTTTCATTTTGACTTGCCTTGTATGGTAACTTTCGGAATCAAAAGGTTACGCAATTCTGGGTCGTTGTTACCACTCCCTCGGTTCCAGCCACCACGACCTAGTTTCTCCCTTCAAGCTTCAAATCCGAGTCTTTATTCTCTCAGAGCCCCAGAGTATATAGCCATGGTTATCACTGGCAGCACAACAGCCATGGCCTTGGATACTCTGACAACAGGTCTTTCTTACACATCAAAGGCTTGTTTTTTAAAATCAGGCGCTCACCTATTTCTGTAATAATTCATATCTTTCTAGTTGCCCGACACAACGGTACCCGCCAGCGACCGAAGCGATGACATCGAAATGGTCATGCAGGCTGCAGATAATTCACAGCCTGACCCCTTCGAGTTTCAGAAAAGCTTGAAGTCAGATGCTGAATTATCCCAGCTTAGACGCCGTCATAAAGGAAAACGTTTGGAGAAATATCACCGCAGACAAAATGATGTACGATATTCACCTTCAGCTTTCGTTTTTCACTCCTAATTTATTCTGAAAAATCGCTAGCTCATTTTATCGCTCCTAAAATCGATGGAGGACCACACGAAAGACGCACAGGACGAGGAGGAGGATGCGCGCTTACCTGTGAGTGCCACATATGCGGTTGTAATATGTGCCATTTCATGATCTTGCATCCAGGTCAAGATTGCTATATGGGCTAGCTTAATTGCCAACTTTAGTCTCTGCGTACTACAATGTTAGTTTTTTTTATTATAACCTTATCATTTACGCTAAGCGCTCTTCCACAGTATATGCTGCAATCAGTGCTGTATCGTTCTCACTTATCGCAACGGCTATCGATTCAATTTTCGATTTCGGGAGTAATCTTTTCCTGTATATTATACACAAGCAAGCAGAACGAATGGACATCGGCAAATGGCCTGTAGGCGGTGCTCGCCTTGAAACTATTGGAAACATTATATACGGTGAGTATATGACCTACTGCTAGCTTACAGCAGTTGAGCATAATTACCCAGGCTCCTTGTTCGTTATCGATTTTCTTGTCTCTTTGGTAAATCATGACTGAAATGTTTTCTGATCCAGGATGTCTGCTGTTAACCTTGTTGTAATCGTGGAGTCTATCCGATCACTTCTCTCTGGAAGCAGTGGTGACACGAAAAGTTTCCATTTACCATCTATCCTGGCCGTTGCTGCTGCCTTAGGTGAGGCATCTGTTAGGCCAAATGACTGGGGCTGATTGTGACCTCAGCTGTCAAGCTTGTTCTGTTTTTCTACTGCTTATCTCTTCGATCTAAATCTAGTCAGGTCCATGTTATATGGGAAGATCACCGGAATGATTTATTTATCAACGGTTTTGGTAAAACCATTTTCATCAACTCTTAGATTTATTGTAATCTCATACGTGTACAGGAATTCTCATGTCTGCAGGAGGAAGCAGATTGCGTTGGTGTACGTACCCTCACTCTCTTGTATGCATGAACGGGAGCTGACTCGAAGCTTTTTCAGGGCTTGACCCTACTGGTGGCGCTCTTGTATGCACATGCGTTTGTTACATACTTGCTATGGCTGATACACTTCAAGATCGGTGCTGGAGTGATCGTAGCCTGGTTGTATACCATCTATCAGCAATTCTGCCTTCTAGCTGGAAAATCAGCACCCCATGAATTTTTGCAGCTCATCATTTACAAGGCAATGACGTTTAGCGAAGAAATCGAGAAGATAGACACGGTCCGAGCATATCACGTATGTCACTCATTTTTATCACTTTATTGTGTCACTCATTGCTCTATGATGTTTTGCGTAGAGTGGTCCAGTCAGTCATTATTTTCAACCCGAGTATCCTTGCAGTATGCTCACATTATTATTAGGACTATTTTGTGGAAGTTGACATTGTGATGGACGCAAATACCCCGTTGTGGAAAGCTCATGACATCAGTCAGCAACTCCAAGATAAGATCGAAGTACTGCCAAACGTCGAACGGGCATTTGTACATGTTGACCACGAAACGACGCATGCCCCGGTTAGTCTGGCTGCCTCTACCACCTGCTTTGCGGACCTTGAAGACTGACTGATGTTTGAACTGTAGGAACATCGCAAAATGATTTAATTCTTGATCTTGATGCATACCCCTATGTGGGCAACAGTGGATAATTTTTGAGAGCCCAAGTTGGCCTAGTGTTCCGTTGGACTGACCTGTTTTAAGCTAACCAGTACCGGTGGATCAGTATTTATGTTTGATCTATGGCAATCGATTGATAGCGATCATAGTCTCTTTACATAACCACATTTCATGACCTACTTTTACTTACCATTAGAATTGACTGTGATACTGCGATAGGCGTTTGTTCGTTCGAATATGTCTTAAAAGCTCGGAATCAAGTAACCAACGTCACTCAGGAGTATGGCTCGGCTAGTTAGCGTATATGCTCGCACTGGCAGGGCACGTCCTAATCTACGCGAACTGTCTGACCACGTGTGTAGGCTTTAAGATTTCTACTTATGTCCGAAAAACCTGATCACAACGATTAGAACCTGCAACCGATGTAGCCCCTTGCCAAGTTCCTATGTTATTGTTTTGTCCGGGTCTCATGTGGCCAAACCTCGTGTGCTACCTACAGGCCTTTGTTACAAATGCCGGTGAATAACTGTACAGTATCAACAACTCCGCCTGGTACTCCTCCCCATTTTCCTGATGACCACTCACCTAACTTTGTAATGATCCATATCTTTCTAGGTGCCCTACACACCAGCGACAGGAGCGATGGCATCGAAATAGTCATGCAGGCTGCAGATAATTTACAGCCTGACTCCGTGAAGTTTCCGAGTCAGCAAAGCTTGAGGTCAGATGTTGAATTATCCCAGCTTAGGTGGCGTCATCATGATAAAGGAAAACATTTTGCACCGCAAACAGAATGATGTACGATACTCACCTGCAGCTTTTATATTTCGCCTCGTACTTATTTTGATGATTCGCTAGATTATTCTACCGCTCCTGAAAGCGATGGAGGACCAAACGAAAGAAGCACGGGATGAGGAGGAAGATGCTCACTTACCTGTGAGGTGAGTGGCACATACGCGGTTACAATATGTGTCGTCTCATGCAACGCTTAGGTCAAGGCTACTACGTGGGCTAGGTTAATTGCCAACTTCAGTCCCTGCGGACAACTGTGTTGGTTTTTATTATCATAATCTGTGAGAGGCACATATGCGGTTGCAATATGTGTCGTCTCATACAACACCCAGATTGCATAGGCTAGCTTAATTGCCAACTCTAGTCTCTGTGTACTGCAGTGCTAGTTCTTCTCTATTACCTGTGAGAGGCACATATGCGGTTGCGATATGTGTCATCTCCATGCAACACCCAGGTCAAGATTGTACTATATGGGCTAGCTAATCCTAATATCTGCGTGCGACTGTGTAGTTGGTTTTTTTTATTAATTGTGAGTGGCATATATGCGGTTGCAACATGTGTCGTCTCATGCAATACCCAGGTTAAGGCTGCCGTGTGGGCTGGCTTGATTGTCAACTTCAGTCCTTGCGAACCACTGTGTTGGTTTCTATTATCATAACCTGTGAGAGGCACATATGCGGTTGCAATATGTGTCGTCTCATACATCACCCAGATTGCATAGCTTAATTGTTCACTTTATTCTCTGCGTACTGCAGTGCTGGTTCCTCTCTATTGCCTGTGAGTGGCACATGCGGTTACAATATGTGTCGTCTCATGCAACACCCAGGTCAAGATCGCTGCATGGATTAAATCAATTGCCAGCTTCAATCCATGCGTACTATCATGCTGGTCTTTACTATCATAACCTGTGAGAGGCACATATGCGGTTACAATATGTGTCGTCTCATACATCACCCAGCTCAAGATTGCTAGCGGGCTAATCTCACGTGTACTGGGATTCTCGTGTCTACAGGAGGAAGCAGGTTGCGTTGATGTTTGACGTTCATACTCTCACTCTTTTTTATGTATGGACGGGACCTCACGCATCTTTGCAGCTCATCATTTACAATGCGATGACGTTCAGCGAAGAAATCGACGCGGTTCGGACATATCACGTACGTTTTTCGTATTTTATCACTTTATCGTGTCAATTATGCTCTAATGCTTTTTGTAAAATGGTCCAGTTCATCATTACTTTTAACCTGAGGATCCTACAACTTGCTCACATCTACTGGGTTGACATTGTGATGCGACGCAAATACCCCATTGTGGAAGGCCCATGGTATCAGTCAGCAACTTCAAGATAAGATCGAAGTTGAACGGGGATTTGTACACGCTGGCCACGAAACGACACATGTCTCAGTTAGTCCGAGTTCCTCTACCACCTGCCGTGCGGATCTTCAAAACTGACGTTTGACCTGTAGGAACATCGTGAAATGATTCGATTCTTGAATGATACCCCTACGTTGGGCAGTAGTGGATAACTTCGATGGCCTGAGATGGTAAATTGTTCCGTTTAATTTGGATTGACCTGTTTTAAGCTAATCAGTACCGGTGGATCAGTATTTATGTTTTGTCTATGGCAATCGATTAACAGCAATCGTAGACTCCTCATTTAACCAGATTTCACGACCTTTCTATGCTGCCACTAGTACCCACCACTAAAATGGACCACAATGGGTGTTGGTCCGAATAGGTCTTGCCAGTGTGAGGTAGGAATCTGGTTAGATGGCCTCAGTCATGATCCGGATTCTGTGTGGAATGAATGAGTTTGTGCACATTATGATATCGTGGCATGGCTCCGCACCAGCACCAAGCCCTGAGTGCACTCACTCTGGTGAAGAGCTAAGCTTAGACCAGAGCCAAGTGACCAACGGCCGATCCAAATCAGAACCAATGCCCCCAAGTAGTCATGAAGCTGTACACCCTATCACTGCGGGGTTAGCGCAGACTCGGACCAGCCTTCCATCCTATTCCACATGATTCTCATAAACTGACGTGGTCAGCCTTGCGACTCGGAATTGCAGCGTAAAGGGCCTGTGCCGCTGGGTCTGAGGAGGCTGACGCAGGTCCGAGTTCTCGAGGAAAGCTGTTGCTGTCGGTGCTGTGACTGCGATGTATGCATTTGAGACATGCAGTATATGAGACAACGGTGTCGTCGCTGTGCACATGCATGATTGATATTAATTGGCATGGAGTGGAGCTAGGTACAAGGGACACCCGCGAGACGGCAATGGCGAGAAGAGGATATCGCGCGGTGGCTGGCGGCTGACTGCTTGAGAGACATAAATAAAGCAAGTGAACCAAAGACCTGAACCATTGTCTGCTGGAACGATATCCTTTCATCTTAACATCCTGGTGGTCTTTCTCTCTACTTTCATCCTAGAATATCTCACATTCACAAGTTCCAACTGGTTGGGAACGATAACGATAAGCTTGTCATCGCTTGCACTGGATTCTATCTTTTGGGTGTGAGATTACCGTGACTGTTTCCCGCACCACAGTTTCTCAGCCAACTCTTTACACACGACACGAACACAACTCCGAAATCTTACAAGCTAGGAAAGCCTGGAGATGGTGAGCAGATTCAGCCTTTAGCCTTTGGCGATTGTCGTAGATCTATGGCATTATCCAGGATACTCATAACCAGGATCCGGAGGAATTCTATGTGAAACAGGACAGGATAGGTTTGCATCGTCAATCTACCATTAGATCATACTCCATAAACTGATACCAGACACCCAGGAAAGGGATCTTTTGGTGAAGTTTACAAAGGGTGCGGTTATCGCTTGGATAGCAAGATCAATGGCGATCTGACACTCTGCTTCACAGCTATGACAAGAGAACTATGAAAACTGTAGCAATCAAGATCATAGATCTTGAAAGTGCTGAAGATGAGATAGAAGACATACAGCAGGAAATTCAAATCCTATCACAGTTGGACTCACCACATGTCACCAAGTTTGTCCCATTACCTTGCACCAATTCTGCGTGGATTCGATGATATTAACGGGCAGTTTTCAAACCAAAGATACCATGGATCATATCTCAAAGGTTCTAACCTCTGGATTGTTATGGAGTACGTCTCCCAGTCATCTGACTCCATCTACTTGCTAAGTTGTCGCCTCTAGGTATTGTTCTGGTGGTTCGTGCTCAGATTTAGTACGAGCTTTCTTCATTCAAGCGTATCGAACGCATCTGATCATTCCTCTAGATGAAACCTGGCGTGTTTCGAGAGGAGTATATTGCTATCATTGTCCGCGAGCTCCTTCGCGGCCTAGACTACCTTCATACCGAGGGAAAGCTGCACCGTGATATCAAAGGTTTCTTCTATTGTCTTCTTGCACTGTTACATTTAACGTTGCCCATCCTTTCACAGCTGCCAACATCCTCCTTTCCGCAGGAGGTGAGGTCAAGCTCGCTGATTTCGGCGTATCTGGTCAGCTTTCTGGGACCCTCTCGGCGAAGAAAAATACGTTTGTCGGTACACCTTACTGGATGTCACCCGAAGTCATCAAACAAAGCGGCTACGATCATAAAGCAGATATATGGAGCTTAGGTATCACTGCTATCGAGTTAGCCAAAGGCGAGCCGCCGTATGCGGAGCTGCACCCTATGAAGGCGAGTCGTTTTTAACTAACCTGTGTCACCAGAGGAGCTAGTGGCCAGTGATAAAGCATCCTATTGTTGAATGCTTATCGATAACGTTGTTCTTTTCTTAGGTGCTTTTCCTCATACCCAAAAATCCTCCTCCCACCCTGGATGGTCATTTCTCAAAGCCCTTCCGAGAGTTTGTCTCTTATTGTCTCCAACGAGACCCTCGGGATGTAAGTCTTTATATTCCGTTTGTATTGTAGACCTATATCACGAGTCTGTGGTTACAGCGACCAGCTGCTCGAGAGCTGTTGAAACACAAGTTTGTACGAATGGCAAAGAAGACTAGCTACTTGACAGAGTTGATTGAGCGGCACGAGCGATGGAAAGCGGAGGGTGGAGAGCGAACAGAGGACGATGAGCAAGAGCTTGATCAAGATTTGTGAGTTTTATTTTGCCTTCTGGTTTATTTGCGTTTCTCAACTGGGGATGTCAGGCCCGCGAACGGCGACCCAGAGGATTTGTGGGACTTCGGGACTGTACGTCATGCTGGGCGGCCGGGTACAGTGGGGCGCACGCAGAGTTCTATCAAGGTCTCTGGACCACCTCTTACGTGGGAAATGAATGGAACAACTCGTTCCGGTAGCTCGACAGCCTCAACAAGTTCAACGAAAAGAGGATCAGGATCCTCTATAACATCAGCTATCAAGGATGAACTTCCACCACTACCTTCGCCGTCCCATGCGTCCGGCAGATATGAGCAAGCTACTGTGAGGCATTCGCGAAGTGGTGGGCTTGATAATGGCGACAAGCACCATGAGAGGGAGCCTTCTGACGAGTTTGAGGAATATGATGATCAGTATCTGGATACATACCCGGCACGTGGAGCAATTGTTCAGGAGAAACGTGAACCCGAGCCACAAGATGAAGAGTTACCGGATACCACTATGCTTGATTCTGTCATCCTGCCTGCGATAGCATCGGTCAGTCGCTTTTCTAGATGCCTCGAAACGAGTACCTAACTTGACTGTGATTTATGCAGCTATTTCCTAGAGTCTCCACGCAGGAAGCCCGCGTTGCTCTCAGCGCACTGCAACGTGCATTTACAGATGCAGAACGTATTATTCCCGGGGTGACTATGGAGTTAGTAAATGAGATCGTCGACTCGGTTGAACGTGTTGAGGATGATCGCTAAGAGTATACCGTGATGCTCTTATTTTCTCGTGATGGTGATGATACGTTGTCCTGTGTCCAGAGTTTGATCTTTCATGGCCTTCTTGCTTTCCTTGCAATATTCTAGGACATTCACACGCCAGATCTCTTCCTTTTGTCATGACTTGTCCTGCAAGCATGTATCCCAAACGTCTGCTCAAACTTATCGTAGCAACTTCTTGCTCTCTCGTCCGCTTGTATAGCTGTATAGTAGTCGAAGTCATTAATAGGATGTATATTGCCTACTGTAACTAGTGTGTCTCGTTTATCACGGAACCATTGTCTCCTGCCTGTATCTCTGGCTTGATTGTACGTTTCTTTTTCGCGGAGCTTGTGCCTTTCTTCTTGGAGCGGACGACTTTGATAGGGTCTGGGGTACTGGCACGTGGCTCATCTGGAACTTCGTAAGGTTGAAATGAAGTCAGTGGTGTCGTTGGGCGGTCGAATGGACTGGGCGTTGGTCTCCGAGATGAAGGTGTAGATGGTTGTGGAGTTACGACAGCACTTTGTGGCATTTCGCCGTCCTTCTGAACTATGAACCTTGAAGGCGTCGACCGCGGTGGTTGGTTTCGAAGGGAAGGTAGACGAGGCTCTTCTATAAATGAAATAAAACGCGGGATGTGTCAATCATGTAGAAGCTAAGAGGACCGAGCTTACGCACCTTGGGCTGGAGGCGGCGGTAGATCATCCAGTCGAACAACTGGTATAGCATCGATATCCTCAGGAGTAGGTTTCCGAGGTTGGTCATCGATGATATAATATGGGTCATCCCGCATCCTCTCTAATCTTTCTGCTTTTTGCTGTAATGGAAATACATTAGCTTCATCTAATTCTCTCTGAAAACAGTACCCACCTTTTCTCGGAGAGCTTTCTCCTCTGCAGTTTCCACTTCTGTAGGGGCAGCAAGGACCTCAGCAGGAGTATCAACTTTTTGTTTCTTTTTACTACTCTTCGCCTTCGTGCCATTCACCACTTCCTTTTCCTTCCCTTTCTTGCTTTTCTTGGACTTCCTTTCCACCACACTGCTCTCATCTTCGAGCTGCACTTTCGCTGCATGCTCCTGAGAAGGTACGATCCAAGCGTCAAGTTTGAGTCCATCTGGTACTGGTACACTGGCTTGTGCAATAGGCGCAACTGGGTTCAATTCATAAGATGAAAACATAGGTTGAATGAGGTACAAGCTTTTTGGGAAGGTTGGGTCAGCGACAGGATCGAAGACAGAAGTGCCAGCCTCCGAGAAGCCGAGAGCGGATTCAGGTTTAGGCTGGAAGGTAGTAACGTCCCTTTTGATGAACGCAAACAACTGCAGTACGTTGGCAGCCTGATAGAGTAGATTGGTAATGATGCATTAACTTGTACTATGAATTACGTACCCTCTCTTGCACCTCGATGTATGGACTTGCGGCAAGTTGATTCATGCGCTCGATAATCTCGTCCACGGTGGTTTTCACCTTTGTTAGGTAGTCGTCAATCCACCGTTGAGCTAACTCTGCAGCCCAGACTCCAAAGACCTTAGCCGTCGCTTGTATATAAACGGTTAATATGTCTGAACTGAGATTTATGGCCTCAGGTCGCAGAAGATGAGGAAGAACGCTCTGTGGTTCGTTGAGTTCACTTTAAATATTATGAAAATTTAGCTTTCAATCTAGTGGTGGAGGTCACTTACTGGCAGTATTCCCCGCATATATATGCCGCTGCCCATAAAACTTCAGAGCAACTCCCTTGTTCTGTTGCATTCAGTAGGAAGGTGGAATCACTAATGAGCTTGACCATGAGCTGAACCGCGTAGCCTCTCGCCGCCTTCACACGAGTAACAACATCGATCAACTGGTCTCGAATGTGTAGTCCAACATCAGAATTAGAGATATACGCCAAATCCACAAGCACAGAGAGGTACCACTCGAAGTCAACGATATTGTCGTATGTCGATTGAGAACAGATGCTTAATATTCGTTGGGATAAAACAAGGCGATACGCAGGTGATTGCGAAGGAGATATGAGAGGTTTGGTGGACGGTGCAGAATTGACGCTTTGGGATAGTGATTGGACAGCTGACGGCAGTGTCGATGTATCTGATTTGACCAAATGCGAAAGAAGTTGTTGTACGATAGATTGTAGATTGGATCGGTTAACCTGTGTTGTGATAACCGCAAACAGTGGAGTTTAGTGGGTTTACATCTAAGGGTAGATTGCAAGCTTACCATTGCTGATACAAGATCCAGAGCCCTCATTCGGATGCTGATGTCTTCGTCATCAACGCTGGCAAGTATAGTATCTTGGTACTCCGCAACGAGATGAGGGTGAGTAGGCACTATCTTCACCATCGCCATAAGTGCGATATACTTGACTGTCATTCCTATTAGACACTATCATGGAGACGAAGCGGGACCCCACTGACGGTTCTGATCCGTGTCTTGAATAAAAGCAGCTAGTTTTGAGACACATGTCTGAGCTAATGCATGACCAGAGACACCCTGTAACATCCCCCCTATGATACATGTATGAACACATTCATACAGTAGTGATATGGCGGATGTAGTAGATATAAGATCTGTAATTGGCGGCTGGAGTTTCTTCACTAGTCGAGGTTCATGAGGAGACAAAGAACCAAACTGTCGAGTACATAGTCAGCTTAGCATAGATGGAAAAAAGAAAGATGAGATGTATACGGACTAGCTTGATCAGTTTGATAAGCATCCAGTTGTTTGACGACGTAGTAAGTAAGTGGAATAACTGAGGCGCCAATGGAAGATAATCTTGGGGATTCCGTCTAGCAAGTTCACAGAGTACATTGACCGTAGCCGCGATCACACCTAGGATAAAGGATTATTATTTTAAAATTGGAAATTTAGCAAAAAATGATAAGGAAAAAAGACCTGAGTCTGTGTCCTCAAGCTTCTCCTGCAGTCGGCCAATACCATGACGGATAGCTTCTGGGTATTTATCGAAGACTTTGTACATCGCCAACACAGCTCTCTTCCGGATGTGTGGGCGGGAATGATTGAGCATCGCGATAAGTTCAGGACTAAGATCCCGAGCTAAGTCGGTGGTGACTATATGCGACACTCCATTCAAGGTCACAGCCACGTCTGCAGGATTGGAGGTCAAATCCTAAGTATGAATCAATATCGCCACGATCCATGATTGCAATTGATTAGCATTCACCTTCTTTAGCAAGTTTGTAGTCAGCATAAGAACATCTGTATCCTCGTCGAACGTTTGTGTTGCTGCAAGATATCCAACGCTCTTGAGATGGATTTTGGGTGAAGACATCACTTCAACGACGTGGAACGAGGCCCAGCCCATGTCATATCCCAGCATGTCGAGCTAATACATCGAGGAATTTGCTGTGATTTCATGCACCTGTGCTACAAGTACAGAGACGTACGTATGTAAGCTTCAAAATGGCTCCTGCTTTGAGTTCCATATCTTTGCTTTTGACTTCCTTCCTGATTTCCTCTATCGCCTGCGCTATGAATTTCATTTCGTCATCTTTGTTGGCTCGCAGACCGCGGATGAGATCCTGGAGAGTACGCTCCCACATGACAGGATCTTAAGGAAAGAGGCTCTCGTTGTCAGAGCAGGAGGAAGAGAAGTGCGCCTGATTTTGCAGAGTTGTGCTGTTTCTCTGTGTTCGCTGTGTGGGACGAAGAAGAGGCCTGTCGTTGTTCAGGTAAACTTTATAACTTCCAGTCGGGATGTCAGAATAGCAGTTCGACTTGTGGGTACAGTATAAACGATCACGTGACCAGACATTATCGGCTCCCAGCCGATCCTGAGTACACTTAACATGGTCTTCATCTTGAAGACACTGTGTCCATTTTTCACCTGCCTAGTCAGAAGGTTCGAGCGTCTTTTACAGTCAAACAGCCACAGGTTAGCACAAGGGCCAAATGGTTTAATGACGATACGTGTACTAGTACATAGCTTTCAAGTATGACCGAGCGAGACTCTTACCTGCATATTAATAAACATCTGTAGTTGGACCATGCCAAGGTCTGCAACACATAGAAAACATAATTCTGCCCTTGCACGCAACATTTTAGCCATAGTATCTTGCTCTCCATTCTAGAAAAGTGAGTGTAGTGCATTAGAAACAATAACCCGTGCGTGTAGGCGTGACATACTCCGATTGAAGCTTTCTCTGAATTCGCAGTGCATAGTTACGAAAAAGGACCTGACATCTGGAAACCAATTTCCAAGCACAGGCACCACCTGCGTTTGTACGATAATCTTTGGACCATCCTCATCCACATGTGAACCCCCCAGTTCCTGCGCGATATTTGTAATGGGTCGAAATGATGATGTTTCAACTGGGAACTCGTCTTTTTCATGGGGCGCACACTTGGTCTTGAATATCAGACTTTTCCCAACAGTAACGACCATGGGAAATGACTGGAAGTCCAGCCCTACAACGTAGGTTGATAGTTGGTCAAAATTATTGATCTTCTCTTTGTTCTTATCGCAGAAATCAAATATCCGATCCAAGATTATGTCGCGGTGGAGATTGAAAGTCTGGTCGACCAAGAACATGAAAAATATGGCTTCAGGATATATTTCGTGTGGTAGGCCTGCTTCCTCTAGGAAATACCAAGGTCATGGACGGGTATTCTGTATAGCTAAACTGATGCAACTAACTTTCCAACCGTTCTTGAACAAATTGACAAAATGAGCGGTGTTGTGGCCAAGCTTTGCGTTGACATTCGCGAGTACAGTAATAAGCATTGTAGCACCCTGCGCAGCGCGAGGCATTGATTTCGTCGTTATCAGTGTTATTGATGCACTTATCCTCAAAGGTCAGAGATGAAGGATCAAAGGGTAGGACGACAACTCACGGATGCGTAACTGCAGCTTCTATTGGTCTTGGCTAGCCTCAAGGTATCACTAACCCCCAAGATAACCAGCCTTTCCTCTGCTACTTGTTTAAAAGTTAACCAGTGTTTCCACAAAGGCCCTGCTGGCCCCGGTTGCGCGATGTCGGATTTTACTATTTGTTGAAAAGGCCGCTTCAAAGCACGTAACACAGAATGTAAAACCAGGGACTTTCCAATTCTTTCCAACGTTTCGACGGCTACACCATTATTAGGCGCAGGAAGCTCTGTTTCAGCGATGGCGCACGAGAGCAACAGTCCCTAGAGTAAACCCGACTCGAGTGACTGTATCATCCAATGAGGACCTCTCGCAAACAATGGAATGAGGCTAAAAAACATGTACGATGATCGGATACTGTACAAAACATCCTGAGCGTACGGCTTCTTCGCTTGTTTTGCAGCAGCTAGAAGTGCTCTTGCCGCAAAAGTTGCAGCAGATCGGCGCATGAAGATGCCAAGAAACCGTACATTATCGATACAGCACACCGTGAGGATATAAAGTGCCATGGAAATCGAATGAAAGCTGAAGGTTCCAGCAGAAAAGGCTGAGCGAAAATACTTCATAATGAAGTTTGCGAGGGTCTCCATAGATCCACCAGCTACCTCTATCATATCATTCACGCGATCTTCGCGCTCGTCTTCCTTGGTGAGTTGGAACAGCTTCACCATAGTTTCTGAAAATACGAGACCTCTGTACTCATCCATGAGCTTGGGGTACTTTGAAAGATATTGTTGTTCTTTAAACCATAGCTCAGTGACGAATGTAATGAATCCTGGCGTATTGTTAACGACCGTGAAGAGAGTCGGCTCATAGGAGTATATATGCGCCAAGCTTGCTATCTCGACAATTACGGTCTCTTGGGTGGCTGCATCGTATCCGTGGCGGACGATGCAATGTTTGTATAGAGACTTCATCCATTCAAATAACCTGGGCCATAAATCTCGAGGCTCCAATGGAACTGACTGCTTTGTAGAACAACCCACTTGGATGATGTGCCGCAAGGCTACGATCGCGTTAAGAGCGTTCATCACTGCATCTGTGTCTTCTTCTGTCGGATGTCCCGGGTGATCAGCGGGGATTTTGTCCATCGCGATATCGTCGATAAAGGGATCGACTAACTCCCGCCGCTCTTCTTCGTAGCTTGAGGGGAAGTTTGATGATTGGCGATGGAGATCATGGCTTCCACTAGGATTTACCGTTGCATGGCGCATCCTTCTGCGAGCACGAGTTGGCATATTCAAAAATATTCTGTTTGTATAGAACACCGAGTCGTTTTAGAGATTCACACGAACGATTCATCTGACACTCACGAGGTAGGATATAAATCTTGCGATCTATCACGATCGGACACGATAGTATCTACGGTTAATGGACAATGAACGGCATTAATCTTTGAGAATGAACGTACTAGAAGAGCTGACGAATAACCCTCGAAGCAAGAGACCAAGAGGTGACTTGGGGAAGATTTGGGCCCGTCTGCTTTGTTTATTGTACGTATAATTAGATCCTTATCCTTTTAACTTCCTATGAGAAAGAACATCATATCAGCTGGATGGCCCGGGGACGTAAGGGCCGCCAATACTCCGTTGAAGCCTTTTCTAGGTTCGTTATATACGGTGCGCCGGTCCTGTGGCGAGAGCACCCCAACACTCACTAATTTTTAGGCCTCGCATCATCGTTGAGAAAATATTTCTACCAATCCAGCTCTGACCTGTACTGCATTGAAGTGACGGAGATGGTGATGGTTCACTTTCAACCTGGAATCCGGTATACAGCCACTGCGCCGCCACGCCTGCCACCGTGACCGTGGATCTTGCCATCGACACGAAACAACTTGACTACTGAGTACTGAATATTGAATGCCTGGGATGGATGGTGCCAGCAATAATGCTTGTCTTCTTATCAGACTCATATAGAAAGTAAGTTATACTTCCTAACGAAAGCAACACGAGGCTTATTATCCGATGTATCCAACCCCAGTGACACTTCACTTCCCCAACGAAATGCAGAATACGTATCTTTGACGTAGCATACCTCGTTCCACACACCTTATCTTTAGCTCTTTGGTGCACACAGTCCAACTCCAATTCGTTGCGCATATTTCATCCTATCTTCAGCGTCAACGTCGCCCTTCCCCAACAATGCCCGTCACCTCCATAGACACCTCAAAAGACTTTCAAACCATTGTCAGTCCTTGCTTTTTTAATTTATTCTTTAAAATTCTTTCATAAACTCATCATCGCTTTGTTATTCACCATTCACCATTTCGAATATTGCGCCATATAGATCAACAGTGGAAAAGTTGTCGTGATAGACTTCCACGCCAATTGGTGCGGCTTTTCTAGCACCGCCGCACCCTTTTTTGCCGACCTTTCCGAAACATATCTGCACACCGGCCTGGGCTTTTATCGGGTGGACGTTGATGACCTTGAAGATGTCGCGCTAGAAGTTGATGTACGGGTGGTACGTAAAGTCTTATCATCATCTTTGCCCCCCTTTACCCCCTGTGTAATGAACCATACGGTCACATTTCATTTGAGGTATATGCGCCATTCGGATTTTTGATCTGATGTACATGCTATGCAGATGCCAACGTACATGGTTTTCAAAAATGGAAAGAAAATGGGGGAGTCAACAGGACTTGACTTACGAAACTTGAATGTAAGTCTTCCGGCATCAACTTTGCATGCTATAGCTATGTTCTGACCAAGACTGCTGCGGTTGTTTAGAAATTGATGGGTATGCATATTAGCTAGAAGCGTCCCGCGTCAAGCTCGCGCCTGGGCGTCATTGTGATATTGTTCTTTTGCATGGTTCAACGAAGTTGGGTCTTTGTGGTGGTATAGATAAAGAAATGGACAAACTGAAAACGTGAATACTCATAGATAGATACAGTTAGGGGCTTAGATTCCGGGACTCATCGGTTGTAATTTTTTTTGGGACTGTCGAGTATAATTAGGATCAACATTCCAATAGATCATTCGCTTCCGACACCTTTCAAATGCATCACCTTTTTCGACCACAAAGTATATTTATATCTTGACACCTTCCAACAAAAGAGTATAGTATCTTACAGTGATAGATTGATAGAGCGTGAAACAACCTGGGTTCTAGAGTCGTTATGTTAGTCTAGTCATGTGGATGACAAGGCGGAGATTTCATTCTAGTTGGCAGCACAAAGGGTAAAAGCAAACCAATCAGTTTACGTATCCTCCACCACTTCCATTCGCGTGCCCGTTCGCATGCCCATTTCCATTCTGCACCTTCTTGACGCCATTGGTCACCGGAGCACTCGCATCCTGCCCATCCAAAATACCTACCAACACCTCGGCCATCCTCGGCGTCTTCCAAGCATGGAAGACCTTGCCAATCTCAGTACCGATCGCGGTAGAATCCTTGCTCGCGTTACCATAGTGCACCTTTACACCAAGTTCGCCACGGACAAAGGAGTACAGGGCACTAGTGCGACCAAGAAGCTTGACGGCTGAGTCAGGTGAGCCTGGTACGTACGACTCACGTATCGCAAGGAAGATACGGAGGCCATGTTCTGCCAAGGCTACGTGCCACTCGCTGATGGCCTTGATGGAGACCTCGGGGGTAGCGGGGAAATTATCGAGAAGAGCGAGGAAGGTGGACCTGAGGTCAGACATCACATGCGTGAAGCGATTAGCAGAGTCCTGGTCAGTAGACGCGTTGAGGAGGAGGATGAGGCGGTTCGTGAGAAGGCGGAAGAATTCGTCGTCAAATTTTACGTTAGGGAATCGTGTCTCGGTCTCAGAGCGAAGTAAGGGGAACATTTGCTTGCGGAATAAAACTTCCATAGCGCGAAGATCCGCTGCCTGACAGAGAGCAAAGATGTGTGTGGACATTAACTATAATCGCTGAGATTAGCACTTGGTTTCATGCTCAGCAAAGAAAATAAGTACCATGCGGCAAAGCTTGACGGTTTCGAGGGTGTAACGGCCACTCATCAAAGCAAGTGAGTTAATAGATCTACATGAAATGCGTAAGTTATTACTTCGATATTATAATGGGACCAAACTAACTGGTTGTGCATCTCAGCTGAGATAACGTGGGTGCTAACGGGGCTTGCAAGGTATGCGATCTCTAAGCACAAAAGTCAGACATTTCTCTATAAACTCCAAACCGACGATGTATGCTCACCAGAGAGATAAGAAGCAGCTGCAATATCTGCACCTTTTAGGCTGTAGTCGACACTTGGCTCACCGACGGCGAGGTTGGGAGGCAAGCCGCTGTTCATAGTGTGGTTCAACAAATCAGTGAGTTGAGCAAACATGAGTTTTGCTAGAAACGAAATGAATAAAAACGGAATCAAATAGCGAAACCAGCACGTACCAATGTGATGCACCGCAAGGCGCATTTTTTCTGTGGCAGAGGTGACTGCCATAGCCATGAAGTTAGCACCGTGGTGCAGGTACTCTCCCTTGACATCAGCAATGGGGTTATCGGTGGTCGAGTTCAACTCGATATCAATCGTTTCCTGTGCATGTTTCAGGTCTTCGAGCTGAGGTCCCAGCCACTGTGGAACAGCTCGCAAACAGTAGCGGTCTTGGCGAAGGCTCGCTTCCGGGTCAGACTCGACGTGGTAAGGGCGCGCAAGTCCTGAAGTTAAGAGTACGTGACGAATGTTAGCGGCAGACTCGATCTGGCCAGGGTGAGGGCGGGCGGCATTGTGCAGGTAGGGAGTGAAGGGTTCTTGCGAGCCTTTTAATGCCTCGACAGCTGTGAATTTAGTTGTTTAGTATCGCTTTGGATTAGGTAAGGGGCGGGAATATGAATACTTACCAAAACCAGACAGAACTTGAGAAGCAACACCAAGGATATGGCAATCGTGCATTGCCAGAGACGCGACTGCAGTAGACGCTCCTGTGCCGTTAATGAGCGAAAGGCCCTCCTTGGCAATGAACTCAATTGGCTGCATGCCGAGCTTCTTCAGCAATGTAGCGGAGTTGTAGATTTTACGATCAGCGCTAGGAAGAACATCAATCAGAGAGTGCGGACAACAGGCTTGCACAATTCAACTCACCCTTCACCATACCAGGCATAGATATCGGGGTTACCAGTCAAAACGCTGGAGATGTATGCGAGAGGACCAAGATCACCCGAAGCACTGACACTCTGACGCAATGGGACGCAAGGCGCAACATTGTGCAGAAGCAGTTTATGTAAGCTGTCGATTACGATCCAACGTGTTCCCGACTGAGCGCGAATCAGCGAGTTCAAGCGCACGAACATGACGCCGCGGATCCAGTCTTCAGGGAAGAGAAGGTCATGCTCTTCTGGGGTGAGAATTTTGCCATCTTCAAGTGCAGGGACTATGCCTGCTTGACAGTGGGCTAGAAGAGCCCTTTGTAAAAGTGCAGTCTGTTTTGTACGGGTAGTAGCTACAATAGAAACCGCAAGATGAGCGGACAAATCAACAGCCCGAGGCGAAGGGAATAGTACGTACCACTTCCTCCAAAGCCAGTTGTAATACCATACTGTGATTGCTCACGTCCGGCCAATTTTGCGACCAGTGCCACGGCATCGGCGATGGCCTCCTGTTTTTCAGCAGACGAGTCGAGTTCAGGTTGATGCGACCAACTTGGAATAAAATGATAAAATAATGTCAGATAATATCAAAAATATTGGCAGAGGCGCAACTCACCGAGAGACAGCGACTACAGCAGGGATGTCGACGCTGTGGCCATCGATGGTGGCGATTTTGTTTTCTTCAGTGTGGTTCTTGATAGAAGCAAGCTGCCCGACAATGCAAGAAAGGTGAGACATAGCTAGAGCGAAGATATGGTCCTTTGGGGTAGAGAAATGGTACGGTTGCTTTTTGCAATGGTAGGATGTGAGCATACAGAGGCCTTAAATACAAGAAATGAGCTGTGTTTAAAATCTTGGATATCCTACAGGTAGTGGTTAGATGGACCAAAAAAGTCGAACAACGTATGTTCGATCAGAATAGTACCCAGACCATAGACTGATAGGAGCGCACGGGAATGAAATACGACATTGCAGTATGGTAGTGAGACAGTTGACAGAGCTCTTCCATGGTTTGATTGACGCGGTGCTGCCAGTCGATCGGCTACCAGGAATGTATGTTCGACTGACGCTATGGTGCGGATGGAATAGAGGTGATTCATGTTGCCGTTACTGACTAGGATGTTCACAACGTTGAATACCATGATCAGCTAATAGGATGACTTTTTCAACATACTGATCAGAAAACGTTTGCTCGTTATATTCGTGAGAATCCTTCTGGGCTGGGAAGCCCCAACGTCCCCTCCGACGTTGAACAGTCCCATTCCAAAGCGAGTTAACAACAATAATATGATGAAACTGAATTGGGCGATAGTATCATGGATATGAATCATTCGTGCTGTCACTAGGAGGGTTATGTTCGGTTCAGTGTAGTAGCGCTCCAAAGATGGAGATCCATATCTGTTATTGTGTGAATAGCTAAGACGCGTGAGGTCACTTTACTTCTAGAGTGGAGATCAGGTAGGAAATAATGATATCTTTGTTGTGCAAAATACGTACTGGCCAAGTGTGAACGTTGAATGCTTGAGGGCAAGAAGTGACTGTATATGGTGGATTTGAATCGCAGCTGGGGAGATAAACGCGGAGTCGAAGTTGAACCGGAGCGTCAAATGAACGAAATAGGCAATTACGTAATGCAGGGGGAAGATGGTTTGACTCCGCGGAGGCTGTCGCAGTGACGGTATGACATTTGCGCCTGCTTCTTTGAATGCCATCTATAAACGCTATAACGTCAAGTATATAAACGGCTGATGTCCTGCAACTCGGGAGAAGCGTGCTAACGTTGACAATATCACACTATGTCAAATGAGGCGAACTTCACTGTCAGTAATATCAGAATCTCGAGCGCGCAGGGCATCCGGAACTGATCAGAGTCTTGGACACGTTCGTGACGTCGTCCTTCTGTCCGTTCTTCGTGTTCGGGTACGCTAAACAAAGTTCTGTCCCCGATATGTACACTGCCCCAGGACCGAAGATCTAGAAGCCGTCAAGCTCCGATTCCGGTCTTCGTTTTTACTATATATTACCAACGAGTGTGTTGTATGCTAATCCTCTCTGTCTCGTTTTCCATCTCCCATATCCTACAGTATGTCCAGCAACTTTGCTGATGATAATAGCGACTATAGCACCCACACAGCTGTGGCGAGGGACGAGGAGGCTCCTCTGCTCCAGAAAAATGCGAAGAAACCTCGCACTCCACTGCCAACTTTCCAACTCACCCTTTTATTGTCCATCCAACTCGCAGAACCTATTACCGCTCAGTGCATATTCCCTTTCATCAACCAGGTCTGCATTCTCTTATCTCGATTTTACCAAATAGAAAATGTTTATTGTAGAGTGCTTGTAGCTTGTCAGTGAACTAGACATCACCGGTGGTGACGAGCGCAAGGTTGGATATTATGCCGGTCTCATAGTATGTACAGACTCTCTTGTGATAGTTTTTCTTGTCTTACTATATGCATCTAGGAATCGTTGTTCTACGTGACACAAGCTTTAACTGTGTTGCAGTGGAACCGTCTATCAGATCAAATAGGTCGTAAGCCCGTCTTACTGATCGGTCTCGTTGGTCTCTGTGGTTCCATGGTCGGATTCGGCCTTTCCAGAACATTCTGGGCTCTCGTAATTAGGTTTGTTCTCCTTACAGTACTTTCTTTTGAGTTGTAATAACTAAGTATTCGCGTATTGAACGACAGTCGATGCTTCAATGGGATGCTCAACGGAAATATCGGAATCATGAAGACCATGGTGGGTGAGTTAACCGACTCGACCAACATGGCGCAAGGGTTTGCCATGATTCCAATAGTGTGGTCCGCAGGAGCAGCACTCGGGTAAGCATTTACATATCAACTTGTGTCTAGTGCATGTATTGAGTCGTTATAGTCCTTTCATGGGAGGTACACTTGCTCGTCCTCATGACCGCTTCCCTAGCTGGTTCTCTGGTTCCTTCTGGATAAATTACCCATATTTTCTCCCTTGTGCTACTGCAGCAGCCTTCACTGCCTTCTGCTTCATCATAGTGGCCTTGTTTTTAAAGGAGGTTAGTGGCATCATCACTGTCGTGCGCATATAACCAGAGACTTATCCTGAATTCGGATCAGACTTTACCAACAAAACAAAAGTCGAAATACATGCATAAGAATTACGCAGCTCTAGAAAGTAACTTCTCGCAACAAGAAACCCACAATGGCGTCGTACAACCTTCTGTCAACCAGCAAACTCTTCCCTCTCTTTCCTCTCTGTTCATACCATCAGTTCTCATTCCAGTTGCCAACTATGGCGCTCTCGCATTTGTAGAAATAGCCATGTTCGCTCTCCAGCCACTCTTTTATTCTACCCCCATCAAATACGGCGGGCTCGGCTTCGAACCTTCTACCATTGGTATGTGGATGGGCCTGTTCGGTCTCGTCGATGGGCTGTTCCAGATCATGTTCGTGGCCATGATCATTGAACGTTGGGGCCCCAAGCGCATATACATGGTCGCAGTCAGCTGCTTCCTACCCATCTACACCATATTCCCCATTATCAGTTGGGCGGTCAAAATTTGGGGAGTTTCCCCAGTCGTTTGGTTCTTGCTGTCGTGTCAACTTTGCCTTATGGTTGTGCTCGACATGGCATTCGGTAAGCCTCTATTTCGCGAGCTAGGTCATTGTATAAAAATTTATGATTTTTATTTCTGGTGGTAGCGTGTATCTTCATGTTTATAACAGCCTCATCACCTACGAAGCTCTCTCTCGGTGCCGTCAATGGTCTCAGTCAAACCACAGCATCCATCTCGCGTGCCGTTGCGCCCGCCGTGGCAACATCCCTCTTTGCAGTTTCAATTCAGTATGATATCTTTGGTGGTAACGCTGTCTGGGCTGTCTTGCTGTCTTTATCTTTAGGTGCCATGTACCTTGGATCTCGTCTCCCAGAAGAGCTGCAAGACCGAGATTGAAAAGAGTTCATATCCAAACTTCAGTATTATATTACGATGAGTTTTCAACCAATAGTTCTTGCCTGTGTCACCATACAAAGTGAATAGATTACCCATTAGTTGTATTTTAAACTACCTGACGGGTAATGATAACAAGTGAGCTTGGTGTTTAATGTCACCGGAACAACGTAGGGAAATCACTAAAAGTGTTGTGTAGATCCGAAGTTTACCGGTACTTTAGGCGCCACGGAGGGTTGTGGCAGTGACATTGCTCATAGTTATGCCCACTGTCCCACAGGAACAACGTATCCCATCATTATGGAGCTTTGATGCAACAGGAGCCCTAATTATAGAGTGACGACAGGAGTCATGAGAAGGGAGAGGAGTAGCCTGGATGGATTGAGGTTCGTGCTCCTGAAAACTCTATACTTTATCCCCAGCTAGGTCCATGGGCGGTCGTGAGCCGAGGATCGAGAATCAACTGTTCGAATTCGCCAGGGTACAGTCTTCTTGAGGCTTCCTCGTCCGAGTCTCGCTGATAGGGTGAAGAACCCTTCGAAACGAAAGTAATGGTGGGTTTTGTGCGCATCGCATGCGTTGTGTATGCCAACGTAAGAAGTCTGGTGACTTACCATGACCAGTACTGAAACTGCCAAAGGTAACCTTTATATAGATGTCAGCTTCCTCATAATTGGATTTGCCTAACATAAGCGCAGTCGAGGTAACACAACGACAGTTTCAATTCAGGTAAAAAATACAACCGTTCAAGCTATTACATCAGAAACGCGCAACAAGAAAGACAACAAGCAGCTAGAGAACGGTAATTGACGCGGCTGAGGGTGAAAGAAGGAAAATTTAAGGTACAGCCCTTGAGAACAGCAATCTATGCTCACCAGTAAAATGTTCATCGGTTAGGCAGGAGTGATCTTGAATATGCCGGTGTGAGGCTCCCTGCTGAGGTTCCAAGTGGTGGTTTCCCTGAGTTCAGCAAGATTAACCTCCCAGATCGCCTTGGTTTGGATGGCGCCCCTCAAGATGTCAGTCTCCTGATAGTCGGAGGTGATGTAGGCGCGCAGGATCGGCGTGAACTGAGCTGTGACATTGGAGTTTTGTCTGTAGGTTTGTATCTCAGTTTTCCATAGCACGGATAACAAATAGTAGAGGAGATTGACGTACCCTACATTGTTGAAGTAGAGTGCTGGCTTGGGCCACGGGTCTCCTCCGTCCTTGAAGCCTGTGGTTGGACAGCGCGTTAAGTAAGGGAGACTAATGAAAATAATAGCCATATACCGATGGCAATATCCTGGGGTGAGCCAGTATCGTTCAAGGCTACCATGTAATTCTCCTTTCCTGTAGTGGGGGGCTAAATAAAATATCATTGGTGAACTATGGCAATCACAAATAAATCAAGGTCAGACTTACGGAGAAGTAGAAGACACCACCACTCTTGGTCAAGGTAGTACTTTCGTTGTACTGTATAACAGTTTACAACGTATATAAGACAGCAGACGATAAACACTCACGCTGATATCGGTGTAAGTTTCAGCTCCAATGATGTTATTGTTGGCGACTTGCGGTTTGAGGAAAGTAAGTCTATTGTTCAATGAGTGACTTTCAAGCCTAGAACGAGTACTTTGCAAGATAGACGTACTGGCTCGTGTAAGTTGCACGCAAGGCGAAAGGACCTGCAATTTGTAAGTGATTTTCTAGAGGAATCTAGGAAAATATCCACCCTTAGCTCCGAATGGAGTGACTCTATATTACAGAAAAGTCTGGATTAGTCATGGGCGGCGTACTAGTAGGTCGGCGCTGTCCTCACCTCCAGACAACGGGAAAATAATCCTTGTATATCCCGCCTTCGAGATCCTTGTCAAATGCAAGGAGCAACGTTACATCAACACCGAGGTCGACGCTGCGAAACAGTCAAGTTGAGTCTGACTTATGGAGGTTGATAGTAAGATGATGCTCACGTCCGAATCACCAAATTCCTGACGAAGGTAGACATCGTTTGTGAATGTGTAGGAGATACTGAGTAGTATGAGATTGTAGAGCTTTGAAGTTCTGCAGTTAGCGGTACAGAAAAAGGCTTTATATACCTCTAGATTGTTTGTTTGCTTGTTTATCCTTCAGGGGGAAAGATGAAAAGATACATGGTGAGTTGACAGACTCCGACTGGTACAGCAAGCACATGATACCATCAACGACATCCGGAACCTCTTCTGCATTCCAAACAATATCAATGTGAAGAAAATCCGGTTAGACTCTTTGAAGCCACTACTATTACATTATGACCTGACAGCTTGCATAGAACACTCGGATGTGAACGTGTTTCTTGTCCAGATGCACGAGGGATCCACAATTGAATAGTCATGTAGTTTGTGGTCAGGGTTCGTGGCGGTCAGGGTTCAACCTGGACACTTGCGAAGGACAGGTTGCATGGAAAATTATGATATGATGTACAATTTGGGTTTAGACAATGACCATGCCATAATTAAAATGCGATACACTCCAATCACGAGTCGGAAGATTCCGTAACTCGAATTTGGATACGTGACTATTTCGAGCAAAATTTCAATTGGCACCTTGGTCCGACATCAAAGACATGTCAACGTAGAGCATGTCTGCGTTCTCGAAACGTGTTGGGGTGATTATATCGAGCTAGATGAGTCCATCTAGAGCCTTTTCCTTTTGCTCTTATCAAAACAGGGGAAGTTTATAAAGACTTCGCCGTGTGTATTACACAACTACTCAAAACACCGTTTAACTGACACTCGCTATCTCAGCAAATCTTCGAGTATACAACCTGAAGTGATGTCCACTTTTGTCAAAAACCTGACATTCTATGCGTGAGTGTCTGTAGCGTCTGGTTGAATGTCTATTAAATAATCACTCAACTGTTGGTAGTAAGAATCTTGGGGAACGGGTGACGTTGTTGCTTGTTTTCGATAAACCTTTCAGAGACTCGGAGTTGCAGGGATCTCCCAAAAGCTATCCTATTGTCTGGAGGTAAGCGTCTACCGCTTTCACCGACAGCTACCTATAGATATCTAGTATTTTAGGGTTGTCGATTTTGCAGCCAGCGGTAAGCTCCACCAGAAACCCTTCCTATCCTACCGTTGAAGTGATAATAAATGCAGGAGAATACTCCATGCAAGCAACGTATACAAGCCAGTAAGTCTTTATCTCGTAAAGGATGCGAGTTATGTTAATAATCTTCACTCAATGTAAAGATATGCCGCCCTTAAACCACAAGTCGTCAATGGAATCGTCGTCGGAGCCTCCACCTTTGTCGACATTAGCGTTAGTAATTTTGCTATTCCTCCGTATTTCGGTAGTGTTAATGTTACATATTGCACAGTACAATCAGAGGACCACCTTGACAGATGCTGATGGTATATTTTCTCTCTCAGTAAGTTGTAACATATGATTATTGCCTTCCTCAGCTCGTGATAATTCTCGTAGCTCCCTGAAACCGGAACGTCGAATTACATCGAGATCGTGAATGCAACTAAGGCTATCCAGGACGTTGCACTTGGTATGTGGTCAGCGCATTTTGATTTCCGTTCCGGCTCATCATGCTTTTAAATCTAGGTTTTAAAGATACGAGAAGCCCATTGCCTATGCCAGTTCTCTACATCGATAATGTTGCGTATGTGTTCTCTCCTTTTATCCGCTAGGACTCTAACAAAGAGAAAAAATATAGAGTCAACTCCTCTGTTAAACCTCAGTTTACTCCAATCCTGCGTGCCTACGTTACCACCTCCACAGAGTTCAAGGAGACCTATATCTTGAAGCACCCTATTGTAGGAAAAGCAGTTTGGGAGCAGGATCTTGCCGCGCTTGATGAGACTACCCGCTGGATTCTGTCTAAAGACTACATGGCAGGGCAGTACAAGATCGAAGAGGCACCTTGGAAACATTATGACGACGTAGAAAGAACATAGTAAATGAATATGTATGTTGTATACACTTGTTGAATGGAAGCTGCTGGTCAAAGTTACTAGTAGTAGTGAAGTATGACTTGATTTTGTAATCTACCTTCGTCGGGGAGAGCACTTGCTGGGTATCAACGATTGGCTTTCATCACCTTCCTAACATTTCTTAATGCCAAAGCGTCCCACTCAGGCTCGCGCAGTCGGATTCATTGAATCAAAGCTGAAAGAGATCCGAACACCGTTGGGTTCGTTTCTACCAACTGTATTGTTATTGAGTAAGGTGATGAAGGCCGCAGTTTTACCTTTTCTGACCGCTTCGTATAATCGGCAATAGGCCTAGGTGTTGGGCATATATATCGATATGTACTTTTTGGTGTGTTATGAAGTAAATAATTCCAGTTCACGTCACTCATTCACTTTGCCACAGTAAATACAACGCTTGAAACTGGTTGCAAATATCTCGAAATCTAATGTGGACATTATGATCATTTCTGTTGGCGCGGAGCATTCTTCCATGCGGGCTGCTATTCAACTTCTCTGCCATGAGTCCGGTGACCCTGATATTATGGCAAATAGACACTCGTATCTTCATCGCAAGCACTCAAAACATCAGCTGACTGGTGCACTAGAATATATTTTAGTCAACGGAACATCGTCTTTATGGCATATTTCCCCCTGAAAGCCTACAACCATAGCAACTTCAATGCAGGGTGAGCAAGTGGCAGATTGGAAGGTGTGATCTCGAGCTAACTTTCCGAACAGAATGCCTCCCTTCCATGCACCATGTCATTCAATCCCATTAGGCTATTAGTCACAGGAGACTCGGTCAAATTGTGCTCTTCGTGAGTTGTACGTAAATCACTTGTGCGTAAACAAAGTGCTGGCGAGTTCCATACAATTCCCCATGCAAGTCGCATGGTCCTGTCGCAATAGGGGTCATGGAACTTGCCGATTAATCCTAGTACTTTCCATCCATGAAGGGATGATTAGTTTGGGCACAACCGAGGGTCTGGCGTTGTTAATGCTGCGAGAGGCGATCCCTTAGTAGGGTCATCAACGTCTTTGCCAACTCATGGCGAACTTTTTTTCCCCCCAAGAAAGATTAGGTGAAGGAGGGAGCTAAAGGTATATAAAGACCCCCCTTTATAAACCGATAACTCCAAGACTTCAGTCCCTACAATCATTTCTTAGCCTCTCTCCACTGTACATTCACAAACAATGTCTACCTTCGTCAGAAATCTGACAATCCGGACGTCAGTATCATCTCATTGTCAATGGCCACGCGCCCCTGTGCTCATCATATCTTACTTCACTGTCTTGTAGCCATGACCTTGGCCATGCTGCAACGCTACTCCTTACGTTCGACAAGGATGTTGAAGGAATCTACAAAGACTACTTCCCCGTAGTCTGGCAGTGAGTGTATTCTTTGACTTGATGGTTGATGCAAATCCGTGAATTCGAATTTTCTTTAGCGTCGTTGCTTTCGGAGCAAAGGGTAGATATTGATATTTTCCTATATTTTTCTAGTTGATCACTTACAAGTTGCAGGTTCCTATGCCATGCATGCAACCTACACGAACCAGTGAGCATTTTTCACAGAAAACCAGGCCTCGAAGTCACTAACCGAACATTAGACTCACTTTCCTCAAGCCTCAGGTTGACAGTGGTAGCATTATTGGAGCAGAAACCTACATTGATATCAACGTCAGTAGTTCTCGTCTAGCATGTCATGTCTGGTGCACAAGTAACCGTGACCATTCTATAGTACAACCAAAGTACCACTCTGACAGAGGAGGAAGGTGTCTTCTACTTTTCTGTAAGTTGGTTTTCTAACCGCCTCTGTATACCGCAGTTCAAGAACAACGGTCACAGTCCCCCACCACAGGAAAGGAGAATTACGTGATAGCCTTGAATGAAACTGGTTCACCTCAGGACCTTGCCATTGGTATATGGCCGTTATGTTCGTTACTCTTCCCTACTTAACACGTTGTCCAACCACAGGCTTCAAGGACTCGGATGGAAGAGACCAGTTACCCACGTCAGCACTGTACTTCGATAGTGTCAGGTACGTCAACATTCTCTAGTATTTGTTATCTATCCATACTCTGGTACCCTGGAGAACTGAAATACAATATTACAGAGACAAGTCCAACGTCACGGCTCAATTCATTCCGATCCTGCGTGCCTACATCACCTCCGACTATAAGGAGACTGACATCTTAAGGAGTCCCATTAAGACCAAAGTGATATGGGAAGTCAATCTTGCTGAACTCAAGGAAACCACCAGTTGGAACCTCAGCATAAATAACACCGATGAATATAAGATCACTCCCTCCTAATTTGTGCTGACGTTCCAAGGATGGTGTGTCCTGATGTTCTGTCGTTGGTATGTAGCTTCGTCAATTAGTGATCGCTAGTTATGTTTTTTGTCTGTCAACTTGCTCGTTTTCATGTATAACTAGGAATGGCTCCATGGATGTTTTCTTGAATTGAACAATTATGGTATTATCTCAACTTGCGTTGGGCAAGCGAATTCTGAGGAAACTGATGCATCTCGAGTGTGGGCTCGACTATGGACGGAGAAATAGGCAGTATGTAAGGCGTGATGAAACACGGGTTACGACTTACATCTCATCCAGGGCAGTGTACCATGGAGCACGCAAAGTGGCTAAGTTCGCCAGTAATCAAAAACCTGTGATCTTATAAACCATGGATTATTACGCGCTCATTATCTGCAAACTGGTTTCGATCTAATAAGATGCCTGGCGGAAACGCTACCTGAGTTCATTGTTGCCGTTAGCTATCCACAGAGTATTCGTCTATATCATGGCTGGCCAACAACAGGGCAAGCGCCTCGCCTCGTACCTTGGGTGCCGCATTGTACAGGAAGAACTGGAAGAGAGATTAAATTCCTCCTAACTGAACTCGAAGTGACATTACAATGAGTTTTCAAGTGATAGCCCCTAACAGCTAAATAAATGATTGCTTACGCAACAATGTTGACTTGTTCAGAATGGTACGACTTTGCCGGGGCACGACTTTGTATAGATTATCATACATATACATTGCAGCGGTGTGAGGATCATGATGGGCGCTAGTAACTCACCACTATGTTGATTGTACCACGAAGCCGTCATTACGGAGCATTGCGACGCAAAGGGTGTCGTTGAGTTAGGAAATGACGACGGGACCAATCCAAGGTACGGAAAAACGGGCTGGAAGAATTAAATTCCGTGCACCTGCAAAATCTATATTTGAATTTGAGCTGGGTCCGTGGACGATGCCGTCGATCGTATATCACTTCGATCCAGTTAGCTGCATGGGAAATTGATGGTTTGACGCGATTACGTATGAGCCGAGGATCGAGAGCCAATTGTGCTCAAACCTGCCGTGGGCTGAATCATGGTTTCTTCGCCTGGGACTTTTATTGATAGATTGAATGGGCGAAAACGAAGTCGGACGTTGCGTGCATCACACGTGTTGGGGTACCTCGAGTCACGAATTGCGAGTCATGGTGCGCTTCGACGGTAGGTCTTCATGCAAAGCTGCCCATGGTTTCTTGCGAAAAGCCGCATCGACGAAGAACGCCACACGGGAGGCTCAGCTGGATATGAGTTCGATGAGTGCAACAAGACAAAGAAAAAGAAGGACAGTTTGGATTTGAACACACGTGGACATGTGCCAAGCATAACCACGAGATTACAAAAATAAAGACCAGCCGTCAGAATCAGCCTCGTTGTGGGAGTAAAGCATACCTTATCCGCATGGTTGGCTGTACACCCAGTAATGTCAGTGGAAATGCATTCTCCACGCCAGACAAATGGGCCCCTAAAAACCAGTAAGCATTAGCGGTGGAGTGATGGTGCGAGGTAAGATCTTGTGTATGTGACCAGTAAACGGCAAGTGGACTGAGAGGAAGCGTGAGTGCCACTGCTGGATAGCATCGAAAAGGTCCCGATAAGGCAGGTGCCAAATACAGCCAAATCCACATACCAGCAGACTGAGGTTGGGTCATAGTTCGCTTTACCGCTCAGCCTTTCTTTTCTTTCTTTCTCGCTTCCATCTCGTCCCTTGCTCTCCTTTGGTTTGCCCTTTGAATTCGCTGCAAACTTATCTCTCGCAGCCAGCTTGCTTTGCTCTTCATGCAATTGCTAGGTGGTTTCTTCAAACGCGATAAAAGCAACACCCGTAATGTGCAATCCAGCGTTTTGCCAGCACCGGACTCGACAACGTCCATAGGCAGCTCGTCGTTTGAATCACCAGAGGATGAGTTTGTTTTTCCAGAGAAGTCCCTACCCCATCACAATGGTGTATATACTGGTGTTTCTGCCTCGTCGAGCAAGCTTAAGCTGCCTTTCCGACGCAAACCGGCCCAACAACATCGCTATACAGATCCCGGCCTTCCTGTCGTTTCTCTGAACGATGCACCGTTGCGGCCACCTCCTGTACCATATATCTCTAGCGCTGCCTCCGACATAGATCACTCGGATCTCCCTCAGCCTCCTCCCAAATCATCCCTCTTTGGAACACACAGCGACCCGAATGTCTCCACTCGCTCCCTTCCAGATGGCCATCCCCAGCATTCGTTTCATTCAAATTTGCTCCCCCTCGAGACTCAAAGCGAGACCCATACTACGTCATCGTCGCCACCGCCTCCTCCACCACCAAAAAAGTCTGGCGGGCTTTTCTCCTGGGCTCGCGAGCGTACCAAATCAAAGCCAGTCCCTCCTACTCCCACTCCTTTACAGCCTTCTTCTCCAGCTTATCCGGGTGAATCCTTTAATCTGAAATCGTTTCGCCATGTTCGGCCAGAATCGCCCACCAAGTCACCCATCAAACCATCCAACGTCTCTGAAACATCCCTTCAGAACTATGCAACTCCGCCGCTTCCCCGGCCACGTGGTAACAGCGTCGCCTCAGACACTTCGCAGAGGATCTCTGTCGCTGCTTTTCGTGAGGCACAAGCGCGAAAGAGCCGTGGCAGTTCCCCCGTGCCCTCACCTCGTCCTCCGTCATCTGCGGACACTCTTCGGATCGAACCAAATGGGCGAAAGCGAGCATCTACCGTTTCATCAGTTCCTTCGACACTTCCTACTCAATATCCAGCGCGCAGCTCGACTGCCCCAATGCTGCCGGGACGTTCTCCCACAACGAACGAGATGTCCTCTGAGTCGGATGAATCAGACGAAGATGACGAAGAGGTTGATAGTGATGGTGTCCCAGAAACGAGGCTCGACCGTAAACGAACGATTACGCGGAAGGGTGCTCCACGTGCAAAGTCGGATGTGGGGCATGATAAGAGCTCACGACCCTCTGTTCAAGGTCCGAGAGTCCCTAGGCCAGCACTAGCACAATGGTCGCAATCCGAATATTCACAGACTCGGGATGATGACAAAATGGCTGCTCAAGCTCGTTCAAGAGCATCACAGTCTACAAGTGCCATCACGCCGAACGCCGCGGCACTTCGTGCATCCACGTTAGCTGCTACTACAGCGCAACCCGCATTATCACGTGAGTTCGTGCTTTACTGATGTCACACTAGCGTTCTCAATAGGCCTGTTATTTCCTGCTAGCATCGACGCCAGGTTCTCAAAAGTCTCCGCACGTGATACCCTCTGCTAATAGATATTCGAGTTCCAGCAGCTCAGATGAGGATTCAGAGGAGGATATGCCTTTGTCCAGCTTGGTAGCTCCTCGCCGACCAGGGAGCTCGACGTCTGTTGTCACAAACAGATCGGCCACTTCAAGGCTACGCATTCCACCAAAGCCTTTGATAGACATCAAGTCTTTGATGGGAAAAGAGCCTACCTTTACGCCACCGTCGATGAGGGACGAAAAAGAAAATATCGTCATCTCTCCCAAAGGGAAGGAGAAGGAAGGGCCCATCAAGGCACCATTAGCACCGTTAACGCCGTCCATCATTGATCGTTTATCCAAGGTATCCTCAACTGCAGCCCCCAGTCCGAGCACAACTGCACAGCCTCCACGTCTCCAGATACAGCAAGCTTCTCCGTCTACGAGCGCTAGGTCTGCTGGTGACATTAAGAAGCCATCTCCTATATCGCCTGCATTCGAGGCAGACGACGATATAATGGCTGCCATAAGACTGGTGACCGGTTCAGGTGTGAGGAATAACGATACTGGAGGCATCTTCTCTCCGACTGAAGTCGCTGTGACGACACCTGCACCTGGAGTTGCGCCAGCCCCTTCGCTGGCGTCAGCCTCTGACGATGAGATAATAGTCGTAGAAAAGCGGAGTATGTCAGAACTAACATCTAAGTCACGCACACCCTCTCCCGAAAAACAACGCAGTTTACCTATGCCTATTCCAATTCGTGAGCGCCAGCCTCCTTCATCCTTTAGTGTGATATCTCGACCACCACAGCGCAGCAGCACTGCAGATTCTATATCATCTTCCGTGCCTGGCCCTGTATCGCCTAGCTCTGTCAAGTCTCCCGTGACTGCTTCATTTTCGCAGCAACCGGTAGCCATATCACCTAGGCGGCTTGGTCCGCGTCTCCAGTCAAATGCCAATACGTCTTCAACTGCATCTACTTCGCAATCGGACAATTCATCTGTGATCTCTGCACCGAGAACGTCTTCATCCCGGCCTTCTACCTCTTCACGCGTGCCACCTGTCCCGCTTGTGCAGACTATACCAGACTCACCGTCTCTCACTGGTAGGTCTACGACGGCACCTTTGCCACCAACGTCGAGACAAACCTCTGGGGTTTTTGGAGGTGGGCCGCGTCCATCTACTCTGGTTTCTCTTCTCCCACCTTCTACTTCTACTTCGAATCTTTCAGTATCGACTTCGTCTAGTAGCTCTCAGCCAATTGTGCCGCGCAAGCCATTTGCAGGTCCCAGTGCAATGAGGAGAGAGAGTCCTGCAAGCTCTACGGGTGACTCGAGTAGTGGACGCGGTGCTCTCTTGACGCCACGTGACGGAAGTGATTTAGGTGTAAGGTCGCGAGGAGACGATGATAGTGAAGCAGGTTCGACGGCTCGAGGTCGAGGACATGCAAAGAAGTCTAGTGTGGTGACGTTCGATGAGCCATTCGCGCGTGGAAGAGAGAGTGACAAAGGTGATAAGCCCGAAGTTGATCAAGAGAAGCGAAGGAGAGAGAGAAGAAGGAGTGAGGCAAAAGCAGCTATCGAGGTTTGTATTTCTTTGAGTTGCTGTGGATGTATGTTGACATCTGGCCGTGATCATCAGTTGGGTAAGATCATCAATGGCCGAGGACCCATTGTCAATGATGACTCCGAAGAAGACGCCCCTGTCAATCCTAGCATCGGTCCCCGAATGGGCGCCAACCAGCCTTTGAACATGGGTATGAATATCCCTAATGGCATGCCTTCAGGGGGATGGAATTCCTGGCAGCAACCTATGACTACCATGTCACCCATGATGGCACCTCAGTTCGGGACAGATCCCAATTTCTTAGTAGCTCACCAGAAAGCGCTCATGATTGCGAAGCAGGCGTACCAAATGGCTGTGGCGCAACATGCGCTTGCTGTGGCCGGCGAAGAATGGGAGCGCGGATCGGCTGTAGGCGGATCTGTTTATGGAAGTGGGTCTGTTTATGGTGGCGGGGGTGGTGGATCTATCTATGGCGGTGGAGCTGGTGGATCTGTCTATGGTGGCGGGTCTGTTTATGGCGGTGGATCTGTATACGGTGGTAATAGCATGGGCATGTATGGAATGCCTGGCATTGGAGGCATGGTGCCAAATCAGTGGTCAACTGGTTCCACCATGTTCCCTAGTCCTCCCCGTTCGGTATATGGTGGCGGTGGAATCAGTGGTTCGAGAAGTGAGTATGGGGGCGGTGGCGGAGGTGGGGCAGGGTGGGGCTCTCGAAGTGTGTATGGTGAATCATTTGGTCCTCCTGCCGACAGACGTTCTTCGAAGGCGTTTTCTTCAGCACAGGTCCCTTCGTTCTCTTCGTCGTCTCGTTCGAGCTTGATGCCACCCAGTGCGGATACACCAAGTAGTTCTGCGAGTGGACATGGCGGGTCTGCGCGGCCTCGGGCGCGGAGCGGTGTCGCATCTACGAGTACAAGCCGGAGCCCAGGGAGGAAAGCCCCTCCACCTTCTAGCTGGAAAGCTTCGAAGTAATGGATAGCGCATATCACACACGTTTATCCCCTTAGGGATATCACCTCTAAGTTTATAGCGAGTGGACTCCTTGAGGAATTTGACAATTGGTTTTTGGATGGGACGACGCCAACAATTAGTATTATAAATTATGCGGTGGGCGGTAGATAATGCTTACGCTCGTTTCAACGCTTAATGGTAATCTTCTTTTCTTTGTATCTGCATTTATTGCGTATGTCGCTACCGCCGCTCTTTCTCTTTTTCCCTCCTCGTTATGCGTTTCCTAGTAGGTGAACTATTTTGGATACTACTCACATCCTCTCAACTAGCGTTTCCTTGCATTTCACTTTTTTACTTCTGATTTTCCCACTCATCAGCCATTTTTATTTCTTGACTTTTCATCTCTTGCACATCGGTTTCTTTTATTGTAGACAAGGATGATCACGCGCACAATATATTTTTAAGTTGACAGAGGATGGCTTGCGGGTTTGGCCATTGATTTTCTGTTGTGTGATAGTATTTCCTGACGCAACTGCAATACGACAAGAACCAATGGGACATGATTCATAACATCATTTCTATCGTAATTCAAGTATTTTGGAAAGGCACAACTCCCTAATCCCGATCTTGCAGCTCGTCTGGCAGACGTGACGCAAGGTATAATGCACCACAGGACAGAACCAGGAGGAAGGCATAGACGCCGTTACCACCCAAGATGTTATACTGGATCGAAACCGCGAACAAAGAGGTGGACATGGCGGGCCCGATGGCACGCGCGACAGATGCTGTTGTCTGACCCAGGCCATTGATGGCACCGAGAGAGAGCTTACTGGGCGCTGAGGAGGTGACGAACATCAAGATACATGCTAGCACAAAAGAAAATATAAAACCAATCAGTCTCCATATACGCGTGATTATTAAAGGTGGTAAGCCATGCTCATCACTCACCGTAGGCCATATCGAGGACGACCATCAAGACCAGTTGACACGAGAGTAAGAACCACACGAACATGCCGACGCCCCAGATCCCAGCCACCCAGCTCAAGATGGGGAATATAGCAAAGATAGGTATGAAGCATCCCATCGAGACCATGAAGAGCACTTTAGGACCCCATCTCTCGACGACTCTAGCAAAGAAGATGACCTGGAAGAGTCCGTCGACGAAACCGAATAGGCCCATCCACGTGCCGATGGTAGAGGGCGAGAAGCCGAGTCCGCCGAGCTCGATGGGGGTGGAGTAGAAGAGAGGTTGGAGAGCGAGCATGGCTATTTCCACGAGTGCGAGGGTGCCGTAGTTTGCTACTGGGATTAGGATGGAGGGAATGAGGAGGGAACGGAGGGAGGGAGGTGTGGGTGGTTGAAGTATGGTATCAGAGGATGGGCTGAGGCTTGAACTTGGGATGATACCGTCGAGAATTTCTTCTTGTTGGAAAGTGCTTTCTACTGTTGAGTTATCTATTTGTTTGCCCTTTTGTTTTGTTGGTAGAGTCTGCGTCACGTTCGGAGGAAGGCTTTTAGTGAGCTGGACTTGCTGACATATAAACCTCACTCACCTCTTTTAAGAATATGAGAATGACGAGAAAGCAGCACGCAGTAAAGGCTGATGCAGTTGCACAAGGCAAGAAATAAGGGTATTTGATCCAAAATGACCCAGAAAATACTGTGGGCCAGCGATCATGAGGTCGTGCCAATGCACCACCCATGAAAGGACTGTTATAACTAAGGATCCGCACTTTACAATCACCAGACTCGACATGAAGCACTCACCCAAACGCTGCTCCCGCACACCACACTATAGGAATCATGGAAAATCCCTGCGCCATGTTAGTCGAATCTGTCAGTTCACCCATCATACTCTTCATGATGCCAATATTTCCATTGAGTATTCCATTTAAACATCGACTGTCGTTATTCATGAGCATCTTTTGTCATCATTAGAAAGCAAGCCATAATGCACCTGATTACGAGGGACATGAATGTCCGAGACAAACCAAATGCGAACATGGAGCCACAGAGACCCATGAGACCGATCAGCAAGACTGGCTTGCGGCCTATTCTATCAGAGAGACGATTCCATTGAAGGACGGTCATAGCTTGCGCGATAGAGAACAGTGATTCCTAGACATACTTGTTAAGACACTGCCGGTGTACGCTGATGCTGGGGAAGTTTGCACGTACTATGAGACCTGCATAATACCCAACCTTCCGTTCGTCCCCACCTGTAATATCTAGTTCACTGATAAGCTAGCAAGATCGAGAGTTAGTACAGTACGAATTGCACTGGCAGAATATATGCACAAGGAAAGTAAAATGGCCGGACCTGATTGATGAAAGGGTATATACACTGGGAGGTTATAGGCTCTGCGACTTGGATAAGCAACAAGATGGAGAGTTGCAACTTTGGCAAAGGCGTTCTTGGTTTCTTTGGTTTTTTCGTGGGTATAAGAGGCTCCTGCTCGCCCAGCGCCGTTCGGGTATGATTGTCATTATCTTCGAGAGTCCTGGACATGTTTTGGTATGTATTATTGGGGGTCGAATAAGACGTGTTCGATGCGATTGTTATCTATATCTACCAGATAGAATGGGCCTATTTTGAGGTCTGTGGTAAAGATGTAGAATGTCAATGAGAATTTTAGAACAACTCATTCTGGAATTAAGTATATGTAGGCTCCGAGTGTGGCCCGGTGACTCATCATGATCCTGATTCCTGACGCGCTAAGTCCGAGTCACATCGCCATTTTCTATCAGAAACGTTTGTGAATTCCAGGCCAACGTGATACATGAGAAAAGGTGGATTCGTTTGTGGAAGGCAAATATGCATTTTCAGTTTGGTGGTGTTGCCTCTCATCTTTATTTTGCCATCGCGGCCATGCTCAGTCGTACTTAAATCAATAACGGTACCAAACCATTTCACACTATATTATTAGCCACTCAGGCCGAGGCTTTACCGTCGATCATTCAATGTTCTTTGACCAAGGTAGTCGTGTATATATCTTATCAGATAGCATCTGACCCTATCCCAAGGATTAGATAGGAAGGCACAAATACAATCCATAATGAAAGATATCTCTGAATCGATGTGCCATGAGCTAGAGGGGCTACAATATGACATTTACTTTGTATTGCCTGGCGGGTGTTTAGTGTTTTCTAACACCGTTAGTTGTGCATACGCATGTGAGACAGAAAATATTACATGGACGGATACTGATGCACTACGTCTTCCTACCGCGTCCTATAATAGATGGTTTGTATGGTCAACTAACTTCACAGTGCTCGTTTCCTAAACAAGACTTTCGCCGTAGGATTTGGGGAGCTAGCCGTGTTGAATATGAAGTTGACAGGTCGAACGCCTTCGTCCTCCAACTTGACGTCATACGTCATGACCACATGTGCCAGCATCGCCTTTAACTCGTTGGCAGCAAAAAAGCGTCCGGGGCTAAGGAATATTAGGTCAGTGAAATGTACGTATGTAACGTCCTGAAACAGTGGAGAATACAAACCATGCATGTCTGCCGTGTCCGAAAGGTATATATTCCGGATTGGTAGATACCATTTGGTGCCGGACTTCTTCTCCCTCTCCCTCTCGGAGGTCAGCAAACCGGAACGGTTGGAATACATGAGGATCTGCGTATATATCTGCGTCGTGGTGTATTGGGTAGGCGGCAACAGAGACTATACACCCAGCTGGAATAAATGTTCCATCGGAGAAAGTGAAGTCCTTCAGTGCTTTTCGGGACATCGATACTGCAATGGAAATAAATTAATCAACAAGTCAATGAATCCCAGATACGACGTACTGCAACCAAGACCATCAAACCTCTGAGCTTCTTTCAAAAAGCTATCCACTTTGCGCATCTTCACCAAAGCATTCTTGGACCAGCCTTCTTGTTCGATGATAGCCTCAACTTCTTCACGCAATGGTTGGATGTATTGAGGGTAGGCAGCTAGGTAGAACAATGCATGCGTGAAGCTCTGTTATAATAGAATTCTTTTCAGCATGCAAAAACAGAATGGGTACAAGAGGCCTATAAATACCATTGACGATGTCTATATCTGTATGATCAGCGTATGTGACAGATAAGCCTGGGATGATGGACGTACGTGAATTGCAGCAAAGTTGATCGTCAAAATGCGCATGGTGAGTAGTCTTGCGGTTTGCTCTTCTCCTTTGGCTTCGTCCATAAGCCAGGATAACATGTCTTTCTGAAATATATCATGAGACATTATACACATAACTCAAGAAAAATATAGCGTACTGGCTTTTCGGCCCAATCATCGCCATATTCTTCAATATATCTCCGACGCTCCTCTATTATAGGTTGGAGGTGCTTTATCGCCCGCCTGATACTGCCAGGAACACTGGTCAAGAATTTGGCTACTAATCTGAAAGTCGGATAAGTCGTGGACAATTTGAAATGGAAAGAACACGTACGGTGCCATGAAAGCGGGGAACAGATTGATGATCATTCCTCCTTTGACCACATCAAGAGTGAATTTGATATTAAGATCCATCCAATCGGGATCACGACCTAGTAGTGTTAATCCATCAGTAAGGGAGGAAAAGGGATATATGGATACTGACACAGAGGAAGTCCCACAAACAAGCGGTTGCTCGTTCGACATACGACTTGCATGATAGTATTTAGTCCAGGTACGCTAACCCATTCTTAAAATGAAATGCATGATCAATATTGGCCACCACAAAAAGGCAATGGGCATACCATCACCCTTGGGCTTAATAATGTCATCAAAAGAAACCGCAATTTCATCACGAATGTCCGAAAAGCGAGCCGCAAGGTTACGAGTGAGCTGAGACCTAATGACAGAAACGTGATAGGGATTGTGATGTACTTCATGTCCAAGCGTATATTCGACTTTCAGCGACTGTGATTATATCGGGAATAACATATACGTCAAATTGACCGTTTTTTTAGCAGACGTGGGAACACGCACCTCGTTGGTTGCCTCCAGAAATGACAGCTCGTTGTCCGGAGCTTTGCGAAGCTCTTCGATGAGCTTGGGCCCGCTAATGATGACATGCCAGTTGTCTATATTGGGGACTTTGAAGGCCATACCTTTGTACTACACATGATGTCAGAAACCGTAGGTGGGCCACCGTGAATAAATTACCTGGGTATAGCCCTCTTGTATCATGTCATGGGCATGGAACAGGAACCTCCAGGCTCCTAAATAGGACGACAGTATTCCAGAAGGTCCAATTGTGGGGATAGCATCAACCTGAGGGACGATCAACGCTTATCCATCAAAAAATAAGTCCCAATTAAGAGAGAAACACATACGTTTGGCCTGTTTAGATACTTGGAAATAGCAACGGCGAGAAAAGCTGAGCTGGCAAGACCATAAGTGACAAGGGACATATTCTCCATGGTTGTTGGCTCTGCCTAAGATATGCTGAGGGGATGCCGGTAATACAAGGAGACGACAATAAGGGGGCTGTCATATATATTACAAATAACTAGAAAATAAATGTCTGAGACCATACCGCTCCTCCGACGGAGGATGGTTTACATATTATCCGTTGGGAGTCCCGGGCGCTGAACAATGGTTCCACAATGGTGCCACTATCATTGATACTAAGTTAATGGGCCCTTGTCTGCCTGTAGACTTTGTTGGCGCCAGTTCCTGCGTTCGAGTTTCAGTAATACTAAGACAATCATCTAAGCCACGAAAATTTCTTACCATTCCTGGACCCAACGGTCCTACTAGTAATGATGCCACTTTTTCCGGCGGCCCTTTGACGTGTGATTTATTCAGTTATACTGACTCCATGTAGCCGACGGCCCATACAAAAACATGCGAATAGTTACATGACATTGATTACAGCAACATACTTGATTAGATTAGTCAGCGATTTTATGCGGATAGCCTACGGCGGATAGGCGACTGTTCTTATACTGGATAAAGACTACAGGGCGTGAAACAAGGCCAATCCATAGCCTAATATAGAATGTGAGAATACTTGCCCATATTTATAACAACACACTACTGTTGTTAACCGTCAGTTCGGATGGGGGGGGCTATTCGGATGTTTTCGAGATACGACAATTCTGCTGCCTAAATGGCTAAATTCGTTACTTAGACACTATTGTATGTCTTCCAAAAAAACAATCCAAGTTTTCCTACCCCAGAATTCACATTATTGAGCGAGTCCCTTATTTTGCGTGATTTTCGACGAAGTAACGCTCTGCCGAGAACGGTGCAGTCGTACTTTCAACTTTTTCAAGACCGCCAGGCGTGCACCACGCAGTGATGGATGAGCAAGTCGAACACATCCCGCTCATCAACAAATTATGATGGATGCGCCTCGGTAACCGCAGCAAAACCAATGGGAAACGTCCCAAGCGTGCGTCGAGGGATCCTCAATACGAGACTCGAATTCAGGCTGCAATCACTGGGCTAAACTCTGGACAATATAAATCATATGCTGGTGCTGCTCGAGCACACAATGTGAGTGATCAATCAAGATCAAACTGATCAATCAAATGCTAATTGATTGTTCTAATACCTTGTTTTCTTAATCAGGTTGCCCACCAGACTTTACATGATCGTGCAACCGGCTTACACAAACCCCAGCAGGACGGACAGGCAGTAAATCAGCTACTAACAACCACAGAGGAGAAGGTGCTAATGGATTGGACTCGACATCATGCCATGGAGGCGAATCCTCTCAACCCAAGAAAACTTTGTATGTATGCCTACGCGATCAGTGGGAAGAAGCCAGGCAGGAATTGGCATTATTGCTATGGTGCTCGCAATCCGGTCCTCAAGCTCAAGAAACCTCAAAGTCTGGACCCGAAGAGAGCGATGAATTTCAACAAGCACACGGTTCAAGATTATTTTGAGAAACAAAGGCAAATTAATGAGACATTTAATGGCATACCCCCAGAGCACAAGTGGAACATGGATGAGAAGGGAATTCAGATGGGAGGTGGTCGGAAGAATAGTGGGAGTAAATTTTACTTTGACAGGACAAAAAAGGATGTCTATCGAGTTTCAAGTGACAACCTTGAGCTCATCACCGTGATTGAGTGTATTTTGGCTGCTGGCATTTGTATGAAGCCCTCTTTTATTTTGAAAGATGGGCCATTTCCTGATGTACGAGGCCTTGAAAGCATTGGGAGGTACACTATCTATGTTACACTAGTTTTATTTTACTGATTCTCTCTCTCTCTCTTTTTTTTCAGCATTTCACGCACACCAAATGGCTGGACGGACCATGACATATGTGAGAGATGGTTCAGTGATGTGTTTATTCCTGAAGCCAGCTCTCGCCGCGTCAACAACAAACCTATCGTACTGACCCTTGATGGTCATAGCTCGCATGAACAACCTGCTATCCAAAAAATTGCCTACAACAACAATATTATCATTTTCTGTTTTCCCTCAAAAACCACGCATAAATTGCAGCCTCTTGACGTCATTGTCTTCTCGCCAGTTCAAAGGAAGTGGGCCACTCACACCAGCCAACTTGCTCTTGATGGCATTCTTATTGACAGGTATAACATTGTACATGAGTATATGAAAGTTCACGCTGTCATTACGCCAGAACTAATCTGCACAGCATTCAAACAGACGGGGATTTACCCTTTCAACCCGAATATATTTACTGACGACGACTTCGCCCCGAGCCATGCAACCTCAACCTCTGCACACTTCCCCGAGTCCTATCCTGATGTCGCCATGTCAAGCAACGAGTCCTATCATCCCTCCAACAGCAGCAGTGAGTTTGACGGGTTGGTGGGTAGAATTAGTGAGGATGAGGATGAGATTGATGATGAGGACAAGGACAAGGATGGAGATGAAGAAAACAAGGATGAGGATGAAGACGAGGACGAAGAAGACAATAGAGAAGATGAAAAAGAGGATGATATCCTCTTTCCCTCTCCCTCCCTCGGCTCCTCTGCTCAATCCGACCTCCCTCCTGAGCTGATGAATTGGCCCCGCCTGTCAGAATCACCCGCATGCTCTGTAGAGCCGTCTCCTTGTCCGTCTCCAGGTTGCTCCCCCTCCCCACTTCCCTCCTCGCTTTCACACATTGCTGGCCTCGATGTCCTAGGAAATTTTGGCCAGATCTACCAACCTGGTCCAGCAACGGCCCCATCTCCGTCTCCGTCTCAACTTGGACAGGACATTCTCCCCTCTCCAACACCTTCTGAGGTCGTTCATCTACGCGCTCTCTCTCTGTCCGGCAGAGGACATCAGCGCCGGTATTATACGCACTCTTCCTCCGGTCATTAAACATGGTGCTTATGGATCGGCAAACAGTCAGCATTGAAAAAGATCAAAGAAGAACTCACCCAGAGCTTCTCACTGAGCTTGTTTCAACCCGAACGCAGCTCAATCTTATTGAGCAAGACCAAGCACAGCTTCTGGCTACATGCCAGAAGCTAGAGGAGGATTTAGGTCGGGTGCAGGCAGAAAGGGACGCTGTCGATGATGAGAACTGCAGTTAGAAAACCACACACAAAACAAACTAACACACAATCCTCCCAGATTCCACGGAACTTGTTTATGGGCTTTGCCTCCTAGAACAGTGGAGTGGTCTGGTTGTTCGTGGGGTGGTACGTATAAAAATCCTTCAAAGTAAAACCCAGAGGTGTATGAGTGTGGGTTTTGAGGAGGAGGGATAGTTGAATTTATAGAAAGATAGGGGCTTTGTGGCGAGTATAGACGAGCACTACCTTGCTAATTGTAGCACAAGGTAGGTTTGAGAACAACGAGGATGACGAGGTGACGAGGTTCCCAGTGATAGCAGGCTCCTGACGCACAAACTGTAGTGCTCAGAAGGACTCTAATCGAAGGGGATGACAATCACTTTCAAAAGTGACGAGTGACAATGACAGCAGTTAACAGTGGTAGAAGTGGTAAGTGTTGTGACCACACTGGATCACAAGTAGCAGAGTAGTGAACTTGAGAGTAGAGAAGAAGTCTGGATTGGATTACTTGTTCTTTTTTTTACAAGGTAAAATACAGGGGTTTATATAGTAAAAGAGAAGTAGGCTATGCACAGTATAGCTGTGCAAAAAGAATGAGAAAGAACATGAAGGAAGGAATGTACACTGACAAATCCTGCGTAGGTAGTACAGGATAAGATTGTCAAAAAAAGAAAAGAAAGGGATAGAACAATAAATGCTGTGAGTAATGTCACAGGTTTGTACAGCCATAAAGTAAAGTCCAATAGCAAAAAGAGAGCAGGAAGATCATGATGTCATGGGAAGATGCAGTAAAAAAAGGGCAAGGCAAAACACTATCAGTATCAACACAGTTCCTTTATTGTCAGTCAGGCATTCTAAAAAAATATGTGTCCATAAAAATGATTCAAAAATCAAAAATAATCGCACTGTAAATGAATGTGTGATAAAAGAGAAACTGGAGCCACCGGTCCACCACCTAGTCCAAATCTGATAGTTCCATGGCCTTACCAATGGACTGGTTGTGTTGGACCACCTGATCAAACGAGGGAGGGACACCACCTAGTCCAAATCTGATAGTTCCATGGCCTTACCAATGGACTGGTTGTGTTGGACCACCTGATCAAACGAGGGAGGGAGAGGAGTAGTTCCAATTTGGAACAAGTGAGTCCCAGGCAGCGTGTGGTAGGTGTAGCTGTAGCGAAGACGATGGACAAATGATAAGTGTACCCAAGTGAATGGGACAGCAATGAACATGGGCGACGCAAGGGGATGAACCTTCTCCAGCTCAAAAACTACCCACCCACGCTCCAACCAGGCAAGACGAGCGACCGATGTTTTGATAGTATATGATGGCAGATCGACGTCATGAAGATGGACCTGTTGCCCTATTTGGACTGGCCGCTGGGGCTTTGCTGATATCAGCAGTGGCACGTGGTAGTCAATGGATTGGCGACGGAAGCGGATAGGAAGTGGTGACATCAGAAATGGTGGGGTGGCAAATAAGATGAGGAGGAGGAGGGTGGAGGTGACAAACAAGTGGATTAGAATGGGGACCCAGAAACGACTGTCAGGTGAGAATAAAAAGGAGAGGAAGGGGCCCATGGTGGGGCTAGGCAAAGGAAGGGGAGTAAGGGAAACGACAAAAGCGAGGGCGCAATGCAATGTGTAGCCAGTGGCGACGCGAAAATTTGCCGAAATGCCGAAACACGGAAAGTACCGGATGGAAAAGCAAAGGTGAGCGTGACTGGATTGCCTAATAGAGGTGGTGCTGATCAGCCACAAGTTCAAAAAGGGCAATATTAATTACTATTCCATGTGGCACTGTGCCTGTGTGGCGCAAAGGCGAGTCTTTTTGAATATTCGCTTCGTTATTGACACCTGTCCATGCTACCAATCAACTTTGGTGCATGACAACGCCGCTAACACCCATTGCACTATCATCTCCCGTGTGGTTGAGGAAACACGCAAGCAGCTGGGGGTGGTGACTAAGACAAAGCAGCGGGGGACAGGAAAAATCAAGGCTTGGTTTGTTACTCACCCGGCTTTAAAGGCACATTTTGATCAGGAAGAGGCCAAGCGCAGCGAGAAGGCAAAGGAGAGGGCAGCAAAGGATGCACAGAAGGCCGTGGATGAGGCCATCCGTACTGCGCACATTCACGAGGACACTGTGTCGAAGAATTTTGAGAAGCCCCTGTCGTCCTACAAACGCAAGGACGACCTCATCACAGTAGCTGGGGCCTTGCAACTGTCAACCACTGGGACGGTCAAGGAACTCCTCACTAGGATCAAGACATACCTGGATGAGCATGGGGAGCTGGCAGGCCAGCCTCGCTTTGCTGGATTATTTGGCCATCGCGCCCCAAACATGTCTTCCTCTGCAAGTGGGTCTGGCTCTTCTTCTGCCATCTCTTTGCCTTCACCCCACTCTCCCGCTTTCCCCTCAGCACAATCGGTGGTGTACCCGCATGCATACACCCCCCAGCTCCTCCCCCAAATTACTCAGCAATACTCCTCCTCATACATGTCCTCCCATGTGCCCCCCTGAGTTCTTACACTTTGCCAGGTCCAAACGACAAGCCCGGTACCATTTATTACAGTCCAAATGATCCTCAAGGTTACATGTGGTTATAAATTTGTATATAGTTCTCCATCAATACATGTGCTTTTCTTAAATTTTGTGTGATAAAAAGTTGATATATTCTACTACAATTTTCTACTACAATTCCTACTACTATCAAGCTGGGGACTTGGGCGAATTTTCTGCTCTTGATAGTGCCGAGCGGGATTTTAACACGGCTTCTGTGACCTCTCTGTGACAATATGTTACTTTGTGACATCCAAATAGCCCCCCCCCATCCAAACTGACGGTTAACGACGGTGTATGCAGGGATATAGTATCCCAGAACCATATACAATGCCCCAAACAGTGTGATTTGTAGGCATATTTCTATATACTCAATATATCATTTTCATGATTCAACAATTTATTTGAGCCTATGCTAATATTTCAAGTACTAGATAATTCATTTACAGTCCGACTTTTCACCCTATAGTTATGGGAAATTGTTTCCCCATTGGGATTCAAAAACTCGGACTTTTTCTTCTCATTTTTATGCTTGTTTCTAGAATAGTTACACCTCAGTTTGTATTGCATAAAACTGAGGTTAGTAGATACAGTCTTTTTCACATCTTCATTTACTTATTATGCTTCAGTATTGATTTCTTAGATGATTGATAAAATGAAAGTTAGCTGCTGGCTAAGAGCACAAACAGATGTGCTTACTTGAAAAAAGGGTTGACATACAAGCAGCCATGGTCCCACTACCATAGATGAGCAGAACTTGATAAAAACTTCCTCGAGTGATGCTTCAATGAAAAAAGCTTTGCATGCACCTGTAAAACAAATCCAAGACAACTAAGAGTAGTCTCCGATTGAGTATCAAAACGCCTAGGATTTTCTGCACTATTTTCTTGCACCTAGGTTGCTGTATTGGTTGGGATGGAGCCATCATCTAACATCCTTTGCATATCCTTGCATAACTGACAATCAGGGATGACTTGCTGTCCATGCCTGTGACAACGCCAACAAGACACAGTCTTAGGGCACTGGAGCACAACAAAAACAACACTCAGAAGAAGAGGAAGAGGTGGGAGTGGTTACCCATTTGGTAGGACCAAGTTAGTTGTTGGTAGGCAACAGGAGGACTTGCTGAGTCCTTCCCCATGTATTGCTCCTGTATATATACTGTTATGCACGAAGTGCTTAACAAAGTCTGAGGGTTCGTCGAGGTTTGTAGAGAGACTTATCCGAAGACAAGTTTGAGAACGTAGTTCTGAGTGGAGGTTTTCCAACGGGAGTTGGTCTTCTTCTGAGTAGAAGTCTGATCTTAGGAGTCTAGCTTTGTAAGCATAAACTGTGTAGAATTGTATTGGAGAATACTACTGCTGTTACATGGTATTTATAATGGAAAGGAATCAGTGATAGGAGTTAGGTCCTATCTAGGGCAGGTCCGTCTGTTGAGGACTAAGTACTATAATAGGTACTGTGAATGCAAGAGGAACGGAAGTGTACGTGAAGGAAATGAGTCATCAGTCCGATGGTATAACCGATGAGTAAAAAGAAATGAGTAGTCCTTAAATGTCCAATAGAGATTGTAACACCAAGTTACATGACCAGTCATGTGACCATTTACTTTACTTTACATTTTCAACCTTTTCATAGTCACATGACCAATCATGTGACACATCACCTGACCAGTGTCTAGGCTCATCATGTGTTACAATCTCTATTGGACATTTAAGGACTACTCATTTCTTTTTACTCATCGGTTATACCATCGGACTGATGACTCATTTCCTTCACGTACACTTCCGTTCCTCTTGCATTCACAGTACCTATTATAGTACTTAGTCCTCAACAGACGGACCTGCCCTAGATAGGACCTAACTCCTATCACTGATTCCTTTCCATTATAAATACCATGTAACAGCAGTAGTATTCTCCAATACAATTCTACACAGTTTATGCTTACAAAGCTAGACTCCTAAGATCAGACTTCTACTCAGAAGAAGACCAACTCCCGTTGGAAAACCTCCACTCAGAACTACGTTCTCGAACTTGTCTTCGGATAAGTCTCTCTACAAACCTCGACGAACCCTCAGACTTTGTTAAGCACTTCGTGCATAACAGTATATATACAGGAGCAATACATGGGGAAGGACTCAGCAAGTCCTCCTGTTGCCTACCAACAACTAACTTGGTCCTACCAAATGGGTAACCACTCCCACCTCTTCCTCTTCTTCTGAGTGTTGTTTTTGTTGTGCTCCAGTGCCCTAAGACTGTGTCTTGTTGGTGTTGTCACATAACATATAAATCATACACAGGTGTTGGTCCTTGGGCTGGGTAGATGAATGTCTAGCTTCCTGACAAATACAAGCAGATGTCTCATTTAACTCAAGTAGAGTTGGTGCCACCTGCAACGTTTTCAAGCATGGCCCACACTGGTGGTTGGATGGGGAGGTACAATACGGCTGTTTGGGGTTGAGTCCTTGCAGAGTGAATATAGGGTACAGTGTGATCATAACATCAGACTGATCCTTGAGGGATGGAGATAATACATGCCTGAAAAAGCACTTGAGTTTGTCTACCCTGCTTGGTTATCTCGTGCATCCGGATCCATTGTGACAAGCTTTTGCAAATAGTGGTGTGCATTGGTTATGTGAGTACAATTTGGGCAACAGTCCTTCGTGCAAATCCAGATTCCACTACCAGAGTCAAAACCGGTATACGTGATGGTGACTCAGCTTTGAGCGGAGGGTTGTTCAGGCAGTGTAACAGAAAAGACATTGGCGTAAATGTCATCATCCACGTGACAAAACTGGATAAACCCGGTCTCTGCTAAAGCAGCCATTGTTCTCCATGGAGTCACCATTGTTCTCCTAGGAGTCATTATACTGTAGTGAGTAGCACCTCCAACTATAAGTAGTAGGGGGTTTAGTATAGGAATACCTTAGTTGTTTCTATAGCCTCTCAGGCAGCAGCTGAGGTATGTTATATTACATTTATTAGAGATCACCTTAAACTAACATTTACTGTAATTTCACTTAGGTAAATAATAAAGTTGTTTCTATAGCCTCTTAGGCAGTGGCTGAGTTTCACTTAGATTTGTTAGGTTATAAGCCCTGGTGGCGCAAGAGCTACACAGGAAATAATTCTCATTTGAAACAGCAACCTTGGAACCATGACCACAGCACACGATACATCCACATGTCCAGTTCTCACTGGACCCAACAATCATTGACTCTGGAGCAACATCTCACATGGTCCCTCACCGCTCCTGGTTTGAGCCAGGAACATACCATGTTCTAAATCCTCTGTAAATGCCATTGGCATTGGAACAGTAATCCTACAAGCAACTGTTGGCAAAAAGGACTACAATATTGCACTGTCAAATATCTTACTTGTGCCAAACTTCACTTTAGCACTCATCTCTGGCTACAAATTGTCTAAAACGGGGTTATCAACACTTTTTCCAGCAGGGTCAAGTGCTTGTGAAGTTTGGAAAAAGAAGGAACTTATCCTCACTGCCTTACACAAGCAAGGACTTTATCACATCCAAGCAAAACCCAAAATTGTGAGGCAACAATAAACTATAACAAAAACACTACCCGTCTCTGACTGCACTGTGAGGCAACGATAAACTATAACAAAAACTAAACCTATCTCCTTCTGCACTTGCAGGGAGTAAGGGTCCAATGAGCTTTGAGGTCGACAGACGCTAGAAATATAGCGAGTAGAGGACTTTGAGAGGTAAGCTTCAAAGGTTCTTGTTGAGGAGTAAAGCGGGTAAATTCAGTAATAGAAAGCTAAGGAGCTATACATGAATAGGTATGGCTTTATATAGGGAACTGTCCGTGCCTCAGACCGAAAAGAGAATATACGAAAAGTGGTCTGAGGGATTAATCAACCAATAAGAAAAAGGGGAGGTAACTATCGTACGACTTCTGACTTGATTAATCAGCAGGTGAGAGACTTGTACTAATAATAGAAGATTGTCACGCGTGGTCAGGAACCGTATCCTCATAATGAGGTACGATTCCAGATAAGGCGTTATTAGTATTACCAGGCTTTACTGGGGCTTGGAGCTGGTTGGCGAGATGCCTACTACCAGTCCCTACCCAGTGTGCTGGCTAGCTGGAAGCGATGTCCAGTCTCTGATCTGTGATATAAAGTGGTAGCGATGGTTAAGAAAGCCTGTGAGGGCTATGAGAAGTAAGATGGCAAAGGATACCTCTAGCCCTAGAGCCAGAGGTGTAACGGGAAAAGTGTTTGAGAACCAAGACATAACGAAGATAGGAAAATAATAAAACGGTCCTTACACTACCCGTTCTACTTTGAACTCTTCTTCACCTTCCTGGGTGACTACAACCGGTCCAAGCTGGTCTACACGCTGTCCTGGCAGTGGCCCTTATAGGGTTTTACATGGCTAATATTGACCATGGGTACTACGCTCATTCATTTTGGGAGTTCCAGCTCCACTGTGTTGGGTTTGACTTCCTTAATCCAGTAAGGCCCAATTCACTTTCCGGTCAGTTTTCTAGACTGCTGATCTTTTAATTTTAAGTGGTCAGTATCTAACCAGACCAAGTCACTGACCTTGTAATCAGGGGCCTTAGAATGTCTACGCTCTGCCCTGTCTTTCATCTGCTCTGCAGTTTTGAATAGCACCTTGCACATTTCTTCTAAGACAGACTTCATGTCCTTAGCCATGTTCCCTGCAGCCTTGTTTTTGCTTTTACCAGGCTCTACACCCATTCTGGGAAGGCACGATCTCATTACCTTGAACGCACCCTTTCATGTTCCTGTCTCTGTTTAATATATAAGAGAACTGGGCTATCTTTATCCACTTGGCCCAATCTGTCTGTCTGTCATTTAATAAATATACAGAGGTATTGCTTCAATTTCTGATTGAGCCTCTCCTTTTGTCCATCAGTCTGCAGATGGAACACTGTTTTGTATTGTTCCAGTGCTTCACTTTTGTGTTTTAGGAAATATATCCATGGAAATTTTGAGAAATCATCTACAATGATAATTCAGTACCAAAAACCCTCCCTGGAGGTTGGTTTGATTGGTCCTCCAACATCTGTGTGCACAATTTGTATGGGGTTCTTGGCTTGGTTTCCTCCAGTGGACTTGAAAGGTAATTTCTTCATCTTTTCTAAAGCACAAGGTTCACAGAACTCTGGGGTTCCGGTAAGGGTGTCTATGTTCTGGAGCCGTCCTTTTGTAACCATTTGTTGCAAGCGGTCCATTCCAATGTGTCCCATTCTCCTGTGCAATGAATTTACATCTACTGCTGCAAAAGCTGACTCTGGGTTGATTTTTGTAAGGACCATTTTATTATTTTCTTATCTTCTCTATGTCTTGGTTCTCGAACACTTTTCCCATTACACCTCTGGCTCTAGGGCTGGAGGTATCATTTGCTATTTTACTTTTCATAGCCCTCATAGGCTTTCTCAACCATTTTTACCACTTTATATCACAGATCAGAGACTGGGTATCACTCCCAGCTAGCCAACACAATGGGTAGGGACTGGTAGTAGACATCTCGCCAACCAGCTCCAAGCCCCATCAGTGCCTGGATATACTAATAGACGCTTTAGTCAGGATCGTACCTCATCATGAGGATACGGTTCCGGAACATGCGTGACAACACCTATTATTAGTACAACTCTCTCACCTGCTGATTAATCATTCAAAGTTGTATGATAGTTATTCCTTTTTCTTATTGGTCAATATATTCCTCAGACCACTTTTTGTTTATTCCTCTTTCGGTCTGAGGGACGGACGGTTAGCTATATAAGCCTTACACATCTCATGTATAGTTCTTTAGCTTTCTATTACTTGAATTACCTGCTTTACTCCTCATCAGAAACCTCTGAGTCTACTCCCAATATCCTCTACTTGCTATATTAACTAGCATCAGTTGATCTTCAAGACTCACTGTACCTCTTACTCCCTGCAAGTGCATGTAAGGACCGTTTTATTATTTTCCTATCTTCGTTATGTCTTGGTTCTCAAACACTTTTCCCGTTACACCT